ATAATGCGCAATCACTCCAACACGAGTTCCGACACCTCTACATATCGCCCCTGCACCCAGACCGTTGGGATCTTCTTTATGAATTTGGATTACGAGGTGTGTTCCCGCCGAGGCTTTGTTCGAGGAGCACCGAGAGTACCCATCTGTAATCCCTAGTTCCAGACTCTTCCCATTTCAACAGCAAATGCAAACCAACTGTGAGCAAGCTCAGTCCGACTTTTTGCCCTTTGCTGCTGCTCCAGTGTTGCTCAAGCCTCGTCTCAAGACGGACCCCTCTCCATCGCTCCTCCCACTGGAGCCAATCGTCATAGGCGCAGCGTCAAGCAAGCCTGTGCTGGTTACTCCGCCGCTGGTTGCGGGCATAGGCAACCTTCCATCGTCACTGTTTGTATCAGTCAACTCGATGAGATCCAGATCATCTGGCTGACGGCTTCGGGACCCCAAGGTATGCGTGCCCGGAGACTTTGCAAACGCGCCTCGAAGCCATGTCTCCACTGATGCTGCTGCACGGTCTAAGCCAGAGCCTTGTCGGGACGTCGCTGATAGATCCTGTCCCTCATCAAAAGGACTTTCTACAATGCCGCTGCTGGAACCCGGCCGAAATCCAAAGTTTGCGGTCTCGGACCCCATTACGGAAATCGATGGCAGAGACTCGTCGATGGCGATACCGGGGAGATGCTTCTTCGCCCAAGAGTTTAAGTAATCTTTCTCCGGTCCAGGTGCTCGTACACTTCGCCCCAACGAGCCTACGCCTCCGGGCCTCCTCATCCATGCTGGCCGGGTATCGCCTGCATCACTGCCCATCCTGCTTCTCGACGATGCCGGAGTCGATCGCCCTGGAGTGCCGGGTAGGTTTGGTCGACTGCTCAAGTTGCTCTGGCGTCGCGACGATGGCCTACCGACTTGCTCTGGGCTTTCTGTGAGTCCAGCTGTTATGGCCGCGGCATCGAGAGAGTGTCTCGGCGTCGAGATGCTTGAGGTGCTTCGGAGGCTCTTCTTCCGACGTGGAGGGAAGTACCCAATCGTTTTGCTCGACACGCGGGCGATCTCAACTGGTTTTGGAACAGAGTCCAGTGCAACCCATCGAACGTGAGACCAAGAAGGCTCTTCTTGGTCATCGTTGTTGGAGAGTCGAGACGACGACCCGTTTTGAGTAGGCAGACTGAAGAAGTCGACTTGTTGTGGTTGTGCCGAGGTCTGCTTACCCCAGCCATGAGCGCTTCGAGGTTCCGGTGTTGGGGCTAGCAAGTCGACATTCTGCCCCTCGTGCGAGGGTGGCTCGCAAGGGCGACCCTTGACTTCGCATGCATCTACTGGTATGGCAAGCCACTTGCGCACCAGTATGTCTCTAGACCACAGGCCGTTTGCCTTTCTGAATGCGTCTTCGCGGCACCTGTACTTGAGCACTATGCCGGCATAGGTGTCAGTTGGTTGCACATGGTGTATATACACCAATTGATCTTGGACCTCTTCTTCCTGTGGTGCGTCCCTGGCGATTTCGTCCGAGTTTCTCTTCTTGTACTTGCCCGACACATCGAGGCCACCATTAACTCCGTCGTGACTTTCCAAAACGCTCGCTGTCCGGGCTGCCTTGAGGGCAGCATCTCTTTCTGCGAGAGAGCCTGCCGCAATGTCTCTCTGCGCAGGCCTACTATTGGGGGGCGGCGCTGGGCCCCAGTCTTTGGGAGCCTTTCGTGGCGGGGTAGAATAGTCTCTTTTCAAAGGATTGATGTTCGTCCGTCTCCCTTCCCTGTGATCTGACTCGTAGCCCGCATCGTGGACACTTCCACCAGACAAGATGGAAGAAGCAAGCCCTTGGATAGAAGCCCAGCCTTGCGACCATGTGGTGTCGAGGAAACTGGCCGAGTTTGGTGCGGTGTTGTTTCGACGGGCGGCGGAGGATGCACTTCGAGCACCGGACTTGGAGGCATCGCGGGATAAGTGGCTGGATGGCATGGGACTTGGCTCACGGCTTGGTGAACGCAAGGCAGAAAAGGAAGCCGACAGCTTATCCAAGGGCCCTCCGCCAGTAGAGGAGTCCTCTGCAGTGCTGATGAGACGCCGGTTGCGTGGGCGGGCTTCGGCATCATGACGTGCTGGCATGAGGGCCGAAGAAGACATGTGTGATGTCGACCCGGCCGGGTTTAGGGAATCTGCCATGATGGAGCAAGGCCGCCCACCTCGTCGCTTGGGTGGTAGGCAGTTGAAAGGGAGGGCATCAGCGCGTGGCTTCGATCATCGACAGTATTCGGTCGCTTGGAAGACGGTAATATGCGATCTGGGTCGGCAGCGCCGTGGGCGACTTCGGAGTAGGAAGCACAGAAGGTTGAAAGCGGTAGGTCGAAAGAGCGGGCGATAAAGTATGTGTTTCGGTCAAGGCGGATTAAGTTCACAGGGGACGTCAGAGTGTCGCTCTCGCGTGTATCTCGAAGGGAAGAACAGCTGAGGCCAAGGGAGGAGCAGGTGTAGTATTCGTTGGTTGGTTGAGGAATGAATGGATGGAAGTGATGTATGATGGCCGAATGGATGGACAATTGGAACCGTGGTCGTGTACCTTTTCTTTAGCGTATGCAGTAGCAGCCAGCATGGGAAGCAAGCAGTGACAAGCAGCAGCGAAGGGGAAGCGGTGGTAGGATGGCGACCGTGGGTGGTGGCAGCAGGAGCGAACCGCATGTGCGTATGCGATACTGTGGACGGGTAGGGAGTATGGGCACCTCTCCACTGGGCTAAGTGTCCTTCTACGTATGTATTGAAGTGCTGAGGCGGCGGGCTGCACTGTGGCCCGTCGAGAGATGTGGGCCGGGGTTTGTCAAGGGACTTGAAAGGACGGGACCCTTGGCCAGCCGCGAAAGACGACGCAATCACGCACTCAGAACTCTCTGAAAGGCAATGTACCTCACCTCCGAACCTCGTGGCTCAAGGTACTTACAAGTCGGTAATGTAGGTAAGGTACCTTAGGTGCCGAGGACTGCTTGTGGCGCCCTGTCCTATCCGTACTGAAATGATTAGCGGTCCTTTCAGTGGGGACGAACAGGTGGCATTCCTGCAATCCCCTCCCCCCAATTCGCTTGAGGCCTGGGCTGTTTGAGAAGTCCCAAGTTAGCGGCTTACGGACATGAGTTCCCAGCGGTGGTGGGGGCGGATAATGGGGAAAGGGACATGACTGCCAGTCTTAATTACTGGAGAGACCTGGGAGAGTCATGTTCGTGGCTCGGCCACCCACCACCTGTGGTGATCAATTCGTCCCCTTGGAGTCTTGAAGTCCTGCTCCTCCGCTGGCTGAGGACATGAACCGTGCAGGGTACTTCCACTCCTCCGACTCGACGTTCCGCCCGGCTCCCAGCGGCCCCACTCAAACACTTTGTGCGAGCTCACGGTCGCGACAGGTACCTCTTTTTTCCCCCATATTGCAGAACTCCGAAGTACGAAGCTCGATTGGGATCCCGATTCTGGCGCAGCGCAGAGAGCTCCGGTGTAGACTGCCACGACCATGCTCGCTACGCGTTGCAATCGCATTATCGTTAGTCGCGTACCATCAAGCAAGTTTCAGTAGCGGGCAGCAAACGATACAGCGTTTACCCATGCCGAACGATCGAACCCTTTGCGACGTCTTTCGACCCTGACCACCCCCCATCTTGCGATGCCGATTTGTATCGAGTGCCGCCATCCGGTCAAGACCCTATGGACCAAATACTCCAACGCTGACGACAAGTCGAGCGGTCACAACATCCGCCTGACCGTTTGCAGAAATTGCGGCCACTTTTGCGACAAATACGTCGAGCACGACTTCGTGGTGCTGTTCATCGATCTCGTCCTGATTAAACCCCAGGTCTATCGTCATCTATTGCACAATACCTTGATGAAGGATGACGACCGTTTTGATGTAAGTCGTGGGGGAATTTGTGCTAGTACTATCTGCAAGACCCTCGCTGACGTTATTTCCTACGCAGTCATCCATCGTACGACTCGGCATCCTTTTGCTTCTATTCGACGTCTACTTGACATGGGCGCGCATTGAGAAGCAGACGGTGCCCATCTCTGCTCGGGGCGAGGGCGCCAACCTGGGCAGCTTGGCACAGCAGTCTATCGTGTCCCAATATTTCTTCTTCCGTATGTATCATGAAGCATGCTGAGGGCTGACTCAGATGGAAGAAACTAATGTTCCGGCAGTCATCCTGTGCGCTTTGTCGACATTTGCCTTTCATATGAGCATTCGCTTCCTGACTTCGTCCAAGTTCTCCCCGCTCAACTTTTTCAACATCTTGCCCCGATATTCGCGTCCGAATTCCGTCTCGACCGCACTCCTCGTCTCGTCTTCGACCAAGCTATTTCCGATACTCATGGTCATATGGCAGTACGATGTCCCAGCTGCGGCTCGGTCGCTGGGCTGGGCCGTCGTAGCAAACAACGTCGAGGCCCTTCGTATTCTGCTGGATTGCGGCTACGGCGTTGCCACTTTGCTTGCCACGCTGGGAGCTCTAGCCCGGTGGACAGTGGGACGTAGTGTTCTCTGGGCTGCCGGGCTAGATGGAGTGGATTCCATCGGAGAGACGAGCATTGCTGCAGATGGCAAAGCCCTCTGGGCTCTGTTGATGTACGTGAGGGAGTGGGCAAGCGATCTAGCCGCAGGGTAACAGGCAGTATATAGCTGTAGAAGCCAGGCAGAGGAAATGCATGTGTAATATGTACCAGCCGGCATTGCGTGAATTGATGTTGCATAACTAGCCGTCTTGCCATTTCAGGTGCCTACCCAGTCCATCCATGATCCCCATCGCCACCGGACTAGTATCATCTGTCGGCATCTTGAGCTACAGATGCGAGGCGGCACTCTTCAACAGCCAGTCACGCGCCGTTCGTTCTATATGACAGAACCCTAACAAGCCCCTTAACGCCGTCCTTATGAAGTTGCAGTTGTGTAAAATCGATAATAGTACATCGCACCCATGGCGTTGCATCTCGCTCTCTTTCGCCCTTCCACCGTCACCTCGAATAACAGGTCGTCAATGGTGCACGGCGCTCTCTCGGAGGTTGCTGCGTTTGGGTTCGATCAAGGGGTGAAGTTGGGCGAGGAACGTGATGGCCCACATGAGATAGCAGCATGCGAGGGCAAGGAGGAGGGAGGATCTCCAGATGCTGTAGATGATGGTCAGCTGTGTCTCTGTCGCAGTGACGCATGGAATAGTAGTTCTCCGATTGCGGCATTTTGCTTCGAGTAGAGGGATAACATACATCTGCGTGTCGCCCTTGGGAGACAAGAACCATGCGCCAGCGCCCATCGCGACGACGATGACGAGGCCGACGAAGATGCTGTACCTATTGTTCTCTCACGTCAACACACATCGATCGCCAGAGTACGCTCGTCTATGGGAGAGGGAACACACCCTTGCGCCATTTTTGCTGCTTGATTCGGAAGAGGGTATGATTTTGGTGGATGTGCAGGTATGTCGGGTTTCGCGTTGATGTCGTCGTGCTGCTTCGTCGATTGCTTCTGTCGTCGTTGGGAAGGCTGAGCTAGGTAGGAGGTCCTGGACGTCAGTTGTGGGTGCAGCTGTCGGCGCAGTGCACCAGCCGGCAGCTCGACCGTTGCTGGTGCTTAGTCATTCCCGTCTCTCCACCTGGTCTTCCAGCCTGCAAGAACCAATGCAAGTATTTTGTTGGTCAATTTTCATGTCACTAGTACTATATCCTATAACTCGAGGTTTGAGTAATATACGTCTTTCACTTCACGTCATGCAACTAAATCAGACTCAATATTCTCGTATCATTTTTTTCATTTTACATGATGTTGTGCATTAGTCTTTGATCTGATGCCCTTTGAGCCATGTCTCTAGCATCTAGGGCCCTTGCTCAAGAGTCGTTCTCGTACTTGAGGCCAGCTTCCTTTCTTACGGCGCCGTAGATGCCGGCCATATCACCTGATGGTCCTACGTGCTCCTTGACAATCTGTAGGTGCCTATCGGCGTTTTCAATATTTGGCAGCCGTGTCCCTGCGGCTTTGGCAATGGCCATGGCGTGCCCGGCGTCTTTCCTTGCCAAATCAACGGCGAAGAGCGGTTCCTCCCTCTTGTAATAGTCACCCTCCAACATGCGCACCGAGTACGCAGGGTAAGGGCTGCCACCGAACATGGCGTCGACAAACTGCTTCACGTAGCCGGTCCCGAGCCCGCTCTTCTCGGCAGCCACATAGGTCTCAGCGAGCTGCTCGACCATGCCCAGGATGACGGTGTTACCCAGCACCTTCAACGTCGACGCCTTGTGGTACGGCTCGTCAGCCATGTTGATCTCGCGAGCCGCCATGGCATCGATATAGGGCCGGATCTTCTCGATCGAGGCCTTGGGCCCGGCAAGCACCAAGGTAGCGTTGCCAGCTGCTACCATGGCGGGTGCTCCGAACACGGGCGCGCAGATGAACTCGGCGCCCTTGTCCAGCACCGCCTTCGCGGCCGCTTCTGAAGCGCCGGGAGCTATGGTTGAGCACTCGACAAAGACTTTGCCCTCAAGTTTCTGCTGGGATGCGGTTGCGAAGATTTCCTCTACTGCCTGGTCGTTGGCGACACATGTGAAGATGATGTCGGCCTGCGCGATGGCGTCCCCAAGCGCCTCGACGACCTGAGTCTTACCGGCGGGCAGGCTCTGGCTCAGTTCCGTGGCCCGCTTGGTGGTGCGGTTGTAGATGAGGAGTGGTTTGTCAAGTTTGGACTTTTCCGCAATGTTTTTACACATACCCTGAGCTGGTGAGCTCGCATATCACAATCGGAACGGGGTTTTGCGACTCAAAACTCCGGGTACGACTCACCCTGCCGATGTTGCCGAGGCCGATCCAAAGGAGTGTCTGAGCCATTGTGAAGTGTGGTGTTTTGAAGATGACTGTGGTTGACAAGGATGGCTAGTAGTAGATGAGGTTGGAAAAGAATTATGCTATTGTAAAATTCAGTGGAATACAAGAAGTCAAGAGAGAAGTGTGTCGTTAATGAGAATGCAATGCTAGAGAAATTCAATGTAGTTGGTGACATGTAAGCGGCGGCATTAACATGCCGGAAAGCCCCTCAGGGTCTCGGTCAGTTGAGTTTGAAGAGCGAGGTGACGACAACGGCTTTGCCCGAGCGGGGTTGCTTCGGTTCATCATAGAGACCACAGCGGCACTTTCATCGGTAACTTGGGACAAACAATGGCCGCTAAGAAATTGGCTAGCATAGGTAGTGTATAGATAAGAGCATCTCGAGGTTAATGGAACGGCAATATGCCAGTATTAACTAAGGCCAGGTAAGGCGGGTTGTCAAGTCACTTAGTTCTATTCTACGGCGTCTTAACAGTAGTTGAAGACGAATGATCAACCAACGGGCTTACAACTTTGCTCCACTGCATAGTACGCTTTACAACTTATTCGGGATCTTTTTTTCCACGCCAACGGAGCTCAGACGGCGGGAGCGCGTGCGGAGTTGAGCAAGGCAGTCCGGTCGATTAGTGTACATCTACGGCTGTTCCCGTCCTCGCAGCTGTGCCTTGGAGTGCCAAGCAGTGAGAGAGTCTTACTATACTAGAATGCCTGTACCTTTGTTGGTTGACGGCCGTTAGTGTAAGTCGTGCGAAGCTGCCGCTCATGAGGTTCTTTTTTTGCCCCTCGTCACATGCGAGCCATTTTTTCAACATGTAAGCAATTGCATCGGCAGTGCGCGGTAAGAGATGAACCGCGCCAATTATTGAGGTTTTTTTTCGATTGGTGATTTGTCTTCTCTTACCTCGTCTGCTTGTCCGACAGCTCGCCTCGGTGCTCCGGTAATACTTGACGGTCGCCGATGGCGGTCCCCATGATGGAGACGTATCTGTTCTTATCGTCTTATCAGTACGCCCTTTGGTAGGTCACCTTGACTCACAAAGTGGGAATTTCTCGGTCGGGGGGACAGGGCGGGTTGCAGTTCGTGCTCTCCCGGCCTAAGCCAAGGTCCCTTTCCCTTCGTCACCGACTCTTAAACTCTGCCCGACATTGTTCCTGCAACTTCATTCAGACCGGCGCGATTCAGTGCTCAGACAGGTCCCAAGGACGATCCGGCAGTCAGTATCATGGCTGTCTGAAGGGATGGATCTGCTTTGACCCGCCCGTCTCTCACGACGCTGCTATTACGCTGTCTCTAATCGGCTGGTGACTTGATCACAGACACCAGCTTCTTTTATTGTCTTCACTTGCTTCAATATTATATCTGCTCTTGCTTCTACCCTTCACGAAGGAACAACAGGATTGTGTTCAATCCGGACTTATTATCAAACATCAAACTGCCTCGCCTTCTATTCGCTCATCACATTGCCACTGTAGGCCAACGAAGCACATCACGGGCATGCCCTACACTTCTCGCCGTTATCGGTAAGATGCGGTCTCCAGCGTTGAAGCAAGCAAGCAACCTGGTTGCAAGGGTATGCGTTCAAACTCTTAATTCCATCACGTCTTCAAATCGTCGTGCCCAGGCCTTACAAGCTTCATATTAGGCACCGTTCGCCCTCGACTCTTACAGCCCGCCCAATTGCAGACTTTACCACCGCCCGCGGTTAGGAGGCACGCGCCAAGAAGAAGCCTTACAAAGTGCCCTTTCAGCAGTCCGCCACTCATCCAGCAATCAGGCCCGCGAGAGGCAACGAGCTGAAGACAGAGTACTTATTGAACTCCCGCTCCGTTTCTTCTTTCAATCTCTGACATGAGCTGCAGGACTTTATTGTATCAGTCTTAGAGGCTTCGGCCACTCGTCGTGATGCCAAAGGCTACCTTCAAAAATATGCCCCTCAGTCCGGCGAGGATGGATCCAAAAAGCGCAAAGTTTCCAAGTCGCAAGAGGGACCTGACCAAACTTATTCATCCGTTCGAGTCATCAATCAGGCGCCAAAATTCATCCAAGGCACTGAGTTTAAGGCCGAAACCGCCATTCCTGAAGGCGAACCCATCAATTTGGCAATTGTCAAGATACGCCTTCCTCAGGATGTTGACGACGAGATGCTGAATGCTATCGCCAAAACCCTGACCCAACTTAGGAAATTGGGACTCGTGAGCCTTATTGTCCTCGATGGAGGGCAAATATCGTCCCGAAAGCTTCTTCGGGAGCAGTCATGGAGAGTCCAGCAAGCCATTGAGACATTTGGCGAGCCAGGGAGCATTCTGCTCGATCAATGCATTGCCGAGGCTGAGTCGCAGACAGCGCAAACGAAGGGATTCATGCCTTCGGGCGTTTATATCCAACACCCGCACCTTCTGCTGCGAGCTCTGCGAGACAATGCGATTGTTGTAGTACCTCCAGTCACCATGGCACACAACATGAAGAGTATCGACGTGGTGGACGCTGACGAAACCATCATTGCGCTGACCAAGTTTTTCTGTGGTCTTCAATTCAACGCCTCCGAAAGCCCCGTTGGAGCGCCTGACTCCAGTCTCAGCCCTGGCGCCAAAGTCGCCTCAGTCGAAAAGATCATCATCCTAGACCCAGCTGGAGGCACACCTCTGTCGGATGCACATGATGATTCGTGTCATCGATATATCAACTTGGACCAGGAATTTGAGGGCATCATGTATGGCCTCACGCACCCTACAGGATCAGAAGCGCGGCGAGGTAAATACTCCGAGAGTGTGCGCCAGCTCCACGCCCGTAACCTCGACCTTTCAAAGAAGGTGCTTGCGATGTTGCCCTCGACTTCTTCTGCCATAATCAGCACCCCGTCTGCTGCAGCAAACAAGCCGATCCGGCAGTTTACAAGCGTCACAACACGTAACCGGCAAAACCCTTTGATTCACAACCTCCTAACAGACAAGCCAGTATTTTCATCATCACTACCGCTCGACCGAGTCCGCTCTGGGAAAAAGGGTGACATGACGTCCGGCGAGACCCATGTGGCAACTTTGGTCAAACGCGGCATGCCACTTACAGTCTATCCTGATCCCACAATCAGTGCCTGGGTGCCACCACGACCGGGCGGCCCTCGCTTGAGGCTCACAGACACCTGTATAGACATGCCACGACTAGTCAATCTCATTAACGACTCCTTCAACCGGGAATTGGACGTTGAACACTACTTGGAGCGTGTCAACGAGAACCTGGCCGGTATCATCATTGCAGGAGAGTACGAGGGTGGAGCAATTCTGACCTGGGAGAAGCCTTTCGGGCTGGATGAGGAGACTGCATACAAGACCGCTCGACTGGTTCCGTACTTGGATAAGTTTGCAGTTCTCAAGAGCCGCCAGGGAAGTGGCGGAGTTGCAGATGTGGTTTTCAACGCCATGGTCAGAGGCTGCTTCCCAGAAGGCGTCTGCTGGCGTAGCCGACAGGACAACCCCGTCAATAAGTGGTATTTTGAGAGATCTCTGGGCACATGGAAACTCAAGGACACCAACTGGACCATGTTCTGGACAACACCACACCTCCCACTAAGCGACCCGAAGCTATTGGATTACGAGAACGTTTGTCGTTACATTGAACCATCTTGGGCAGACACAAAGCCGCCGGACTAAGACCTCCAGGAGTGGCTCTGAAGAGGAGTTCCCTGTGGCAGTATTACCATTGGAATGGGTGGGGGTCAGATGAAGCCAAATTCATAAAAAGAGAAATAAAAAATCCGAGATCAACGTTAATTTCTATGCGTGTCATACATGAATATTCTTAGCTGAGCCGTTGTGAATATCTATCCGTCGACGCCACTGGCTTACATGTGGGACTTAGTTGAAGGACGGTCATCAAGCAAGGTACCTAGCTATTCTTTGAAAGTACGACAAAGGAAACGTGCATTTAAGCAAGGCCTATAGTTTCCACCTGGGACCAAGAACCTACCCAGCTAGAATCTGCAGGACAAACTGCTGCTGGGTATTTCTAAGTAAGGTAAGGTAAGGGAGGGATGCATCCACCAACTACGAGGAGACAGTCACGACGGTGCCATCCAAAGATGCGTAAGTACGTACCGAAAGGCGTTCCATGAATCACGTGCGCTAGTGTGCGCCCATTCCCTGCTGGACCGATCCACCTGGCCAGCTGCCCCTGGGTAGCTTGTGACAGCATGCTGGAGGTTGCTGTGCAGCCAATTTAACATACTGGATACCTGTCTATCTTGCTTCAGGTCGCAGGCAGGCACGAGGCAGAACTCCCGCATCTACAACCCACCTCAACCCGTTCAACAGGCACTATCGTCAGTGCCGACTTTCCCGCAGCGACCGAGTTGTTTTCTTTTCCCACCTAACTTTGTCCCATCAAACCACCTCCAAGATGGATTTCAAGAATATCGGCAAAAGCTTCACGTGCGTTGTCGCATACCCTTCATGTCAGCGGTCGCGAGTGCTGTATCCAGGCTGACGAATTCCCAACAATGCAGCTCCTTTGGGTCCTCGATCACCCCTTTCGCCTCCCGTACTTTCCAGTACACCAAGGAGCAGCTTGGCCAGGCTGAGGACAAGGTACTTTGATTTCTTTGCGCTAATTTGATCAGTCATTCAATTAAGCAAGAGCTAATCGCCTCGTCCTCCATAGACCCAGCTTCCTCCCGACTACATTGATCTCGAGAAGCGCGTCGATGCCCTCAAGCAGGTCCATCAGAAGATGCTGGCTGTGACGTGAGTTCTCGACGGAGAGGCCCCATAAGCCGAAAACCGACCACTAACACCGATGACCTGAAGCTCGCAATACTCGAACGAGGCCTACGATTACCCGCCTAACATTAAGGAGACCTTCCAAGATCTCGGTCGCACCGTCAGCGAGAAGGTTACTCTTCTTTCGTCCGCTGGTTCCCCGGCCGAGGCCCAGGCAGCCCTGACCGCTCCTCCTTCGGCGAAGCCTCAGCCCAAGACCTTCAACCATGCCATTGCCCGGGCCAGTCTGTCAAGCAGCCAGGTCCTTCACCAGCAGCACACCGGTACGGGCGAGGATCCCTTGGCTACGGCGCTCGAGAAGTATGCCTTGGCTATGGAGCGCGTTGGTGAGTCCCGCATGGCCCAGGACGCTCAGATCCAGAGCCGCTTTCTTGCCGGCTGGAACACTACCTTGAACACCAACCTCAAGTTCGCGACCCGCGCCCGCCAAAACGTCGAGAAGTCCCGCTTGACTCTCGATGCCGCCAAGGCCCGCGCCCACGGTACCACTTGGAAGATGGGCCCCGGCGCCACTCGTCCCGACGAGGGTCAGCCGCAGGAGCTGAGCCCTGAGGCCCAGGAGGAGATCGAGAAGGCCGAGGACGACTTTGTCACGCAGACTGAGGAGGCCGTTGGTGTCATGAAGAATGTCCGTACACATGGACTTTTTGCCTGCACGAAATCGGTGATTGTTAACTCTCTTTACAGGTTCTGGATACCCCTGAGCCCCTTCGCAACCTCGCCGACCTGATTGCTGCTCAGATCGAGTACCACAAGAAGGCTTACGAGATCTTGAGCGAGCTCGCTCCGGTTGTCGATGGCCTGCAGGTTGAGCAGGAGGTTAGTCGCGCCTCGAACTACGAAGTATAACGAAGACCGATCCGTGCTGACGCCCTTTCGCTGCAGGCCAGCTACCGCAAGAGCCGTGAGAACGCCTCTTAAGCGGCTGGAAGTGAGCGCCTATTTTCTTGATCGCCGCCGCCTTCGCAGTATAGCAGCTTCATCGTACCTAGCTTCGGCCGATGTGTAGCGAACTGCCAGCATTCCGCGGGTTGATGTGCTTGAGGGTTGGAGGAAGCCCGATTGCTTTCGTTGCAGCCGGTGTGGCTGGGGCCGCGTATGTTACGCACCATGCATCGTTGAGAGACGACTTGTTTCTACTTCAGCCATGTGTGACTTGAGGGACTACTTCGATTCATTATCGACGCCCGAAACCCCCATGGTAGGGTGTGAGAGCGTCCTGGTTACGTCGTTCAAGGTTGATTTTACGGCTTCTGAATATAGAGTTGTTTTCATGTTTGACGAGTTCCGAACGACTCCCAGCAATTGCGGCTGGCAGTACGGTTTGGCACAAAATTCAAATAGCTTGTCCGCTTTATCAATCCAGTGCCAGCCTGCATGCCTACCTATCGTGTGTTCATGTCGAGAGAGTCTCTCGTTGGTCATGATATCAGTAGTACATCATCGGTGAAGCGTCATGCGAATGACAATATTTGGTTCCCAAATTGCCGTCACCACTTCACTCAAAATCTTGAGTGAAGCACAGAATGCGGCCAAAATCCCTAAGCTTGTCAAATGCATGTATTGGATTGGAATAAATGCTATCAAAAAGCGATGCACATTTGCACCTCCGAGAGTGCCTGACTGACAGACTAGAGTCACGTGACTGGGAGTGCTGACTTATGTAAGGAAATCTACTGGTCAACGAAATCCAAGCGACACTACCTCCCCAAGTGCTGCCGACCTTGCGCTCCATAGCTCAATTCACCGAACACCCGCGATCTCCAATTCGAGCCAATTGATATCGCAACCATGCGGAGAACATTTCGCCTGCTCGCGGGCGTCAAGCCTGCTCGCTATCTCGAAGCCGGCACCCCGACAGGTCTCACCGGCCTCTGGACACACAACAGCCCGCGGTCGACGCTGCTCTATCTGTACGGTACCACCCTCGAGAAGCTCCAGACGGTCCCCGAGTCCTCCCTCTACCGCCAATCGGTCGAAGCCATCACGAAGCACCGCCTCAGCCTCGTCGAAGCGACGGTACCGCCCGGATACCCCGAGTGGGAGAAGAGGGCCGAGCAGATTGTCAAGGAGAAGCCCGAACAGTTCCGCCTCGTCAGCGGCCGCGTCGACGGCAGCGGCGCGCGGACGGTGAAGCTCGGCGGCAGGACGTTTGTCGTTGCGACACAGCACGAGGAGCAGGACGTCCGCTACGAGGAGTGGGACGGCGAGAAGGACGAGGGCGGTACCCTGGAGGGCCCCCGTAGCGAGGCCGAGCGAAAGGACCACCAGCTTCTCGCCGACCGCAAGGACCTGAACGATGTTGCCAAGGTGCAGTGGGAGGCGGAGCCGCAATTGACGGCCGACCAGTACGTTTTTGTGTTTTCCCGGAGCAGGACCCTCACATCGAGACGGTTTTGCTAGCAACGGGGAAGGGGGGCTTATACTGACATGTTGTAGGATTTCCGAGTTGGAGACCAAGATCGGAGCTGGCCTCATTGAGGAGGTCATTCAGGTTGCCGAGGGCGAGCTGAAGCTCGTGGATGTGATGACCCAGGCCAAGGTGTACGTTCTTTCCTCTCTCATCCATTTTCTCCCGACCTTGCTAACAGCCATAATCAGATGGGAGGACCTTGAGGAGAAGCCTGTTGAGGGCCAGTGGACTTACTTTGAGCGCAAGTCAGCGTAAGCGGATGCTTGTAACTGCTGAAGACACTTGCCAATTCTAGATAATGTACATTAGGCGACTGTGATGACCAAAGATACATCGAGACGTTGCTTTTTTTCCCTTCCCATGACTTGTTGCATACACACACAAAGGCAGCTATCGTGAAAGTGCCTCTTTTCCTGCGTTCCATGCTGGACTATGGGGTTCAATTCCAGGAATTTACCACAACATGACCTTTGTCGGTTGTTGAGTCTCGAGACAGGAAAAATGGGCTAGTTGAGGCTTTGCTTGCCTTGCCCCAAGATCAAATAGAGCTTGAAGTGCGTAGTGCCTCGAGGCAGGTCAAATTTCGATCAATTGGAACTAGCAGCTGTACGGGACTATCGTGATGACAAGCTTACAAAGAAACCCAAGAGTTGAGGAGAAATGATTAAGGGACGCTCACTCCGGAGCGATACTTCTTAGATCGAGTTAGGGTGAAGAGCAGATGAAGATCAAGAACAAGGCTGCCCTGGACCCCTAATCACAATATTTAGCCATAGACAATTACTTGAACTGAATTCCAACAGAAAGGCAGTCATGAAGTCTGGCGCAAGGATTTTCGAGCAGCTTGTTGAAGCTTCCACGTCCATCCCTCGATGCTTGGTACCCTTATGGTAGACACAGTGTAAATAAAGCAGACGGCCCCGCTTCACTCTTGACCGAATTCTCACCACACACTCACCTTACTTACACCACTACCTCAACCTCACTCAAGCCGACCAAGAGAAATGAACCTTCAATAACAATATCAACATATTCATAAATTATTTGACATCAATAGCTATACCCGTGTTATCAGAACCTCATCACATGGGCCCGCGCACTAGGCGAAAGCGACCATGAGCCAGCCAGCCACCAGCCGCAAGAGGTCTGCCTCAGCGATGTCGATGAGCGACAGCAACGAGTATAGATACCAGTCTCAGCTCCCCAGCGACTCCATCAACCCGCTCAGCCATACTCCTTCCATCCTCCGCCAGCTCCATCTAGCCGGTCTCGCAGAGACGGATGAGCTGCCCTCGAGGACGCAGCGCAAATTTCCGCACCGCCACTGGCAGGACCCAGATGCGCCGGCCCGCGTAGGACCGTCCGCCTCGTCGGGGTCTCTATTAAAAGCGCTCGAGACCAGCGAGGTAGAAGAAGGCGAAGAGGATCGAGAGGAAGAAGAAGACGACAAGAAGCGCCGCCGCAAGAAAAAGGACAGCACCCTAAAACCAAAATACGCCTCTGAAAAATCCCCCTTCCGGCCCCTCGTTCGGGCAATCTACGGCTTCCTAGACGCCGGCGACGTCGCCAACGCCAAGCGCGCCTTTGGCATCCTCGCGCGGTCCACGGCCCACGGCAAACCCGTCGACGTGCGGCGCAACCACTACTGGGCCCTCGGCGCCGAGATCCTCATGCGCGAGGGCGGCAGCGCGCGCGCCACGGCCACGGACGACGAGGCGTACCCGTTCGCCAACGCCCCGCGTGTGCGCGAGTACTTTCGGGACCTGATCCAGCGGTTTCCTTACAACTACAAGCACCGTCACGCCGTGTGCGCCGTCGACTTTTGGCCTGCGCTGTTGAGTTACGAGGTTTTCCAGGTGCATGCGCAGCACGCGGTCTCGTTGAGGCGGGTGAATCGCGAGGCGGAGGATTGGGAGGATGAGTCGTGGCAGGAGCCTTCTTCGCTCCTCGACGGCGGTGCCGGGGATGACAGCATGATGGAGGGATCCGGCCTCCGGTCGTCTGAGCAGGTCAACGGGCGGGACACGCGGCTGCGGCAGGCGAGGGACCAGATCCGGCTCAAGACGCTCGACATGCTGCGCGAAGTGGCGGGCCGCATGAACGACCTGCTAGAGGATCGGCCTTTTTCGCACAGCGCCGAGCTGTGGCGGGTGCGCGGGATGGTGTCGCTCTACATCGGCGACTTGCTCATCCCGTCGTACACGCTTGACGAGGAGGGCGGCCAGATGGCGGAAGCCAGGGCGCGGCGGGAGGCGGAGAGGAATAACGCGCGGAGAAGCTTTCAGAAGATGGCGGAGGACGGCGGGAAATTTGATGCTTTGATTCAGAAGCTGATGGCGCCCGTTGAGGAGGACGAGGGACCTATGTTGCCTGTCTTCTCGTCACTCCCCTTCAGAGAGTATCGTACAGCTAGCTAGAAGCGCTGGCCAATACTATTCTGACGCGGAAAACTAAGCTACCTAGTCGAGAGCATCAGAGAGATTGAGACGGACCAAGGGACCGTCCTCTCTATCTGGTATTACCCTCCAACACCCCTCCATCCTATTAAGTCACTCACGCATCCTTCTTGGGTACCCATCTCTGGAAAACAAGAGCAAAGTTGGAGCTACCCACAACGACGCACCATTCACCTCCGGGGCTCCAAGCAACCTGTCTACCAACGAAAGTCGAAGCGCCGCAGTTCTCAATCTTGTGAGGCTTCAGAGGCACCTGAGGGTTGCCGACGGTGAACTTGCCATCCCACGTCTGCAGCGTTTCCTGGTTGTACTGGGCCCTCAGCTCGGGAATTTGCTCGAGCTCCGTCCGGTGAGCCTTGTCGGCCGCCTTCTTCTCTCGGACCGTCGGCGCGGCCTTGCCGTTCGTATTGGCCCGATGGGTGATGGCCGGCAGCCAACTGGGCTTCAGAACGGCCTCTTCGCCGTCTCTCTTGGGCCTCTTGACGGCGTTGACGTAGTCGTGGAAGCCTGTAATCTGCTCAAAGTCCCAGAAGTAGATTTTGCCGTTGGCGTTGCAGAAGGCTAGAATAGGGTGCTGATCGGGGACGAAGTGCAGCTTGAACCGCATGAAGAATTGCGGGCCGCAACCGAGCGTTTGGAACTCGATGAGCCGCGTGTAGGGAGCTGGACATTCTGCCGAAACGCCCGGGCTAAAGGCAGAGCGGGTGAGATTGGCCGGGTTGATGGTTGTCGGGGCCATGGACTGCGGAGGGGGCGGGTCCTGGGACGAGAAGCCTTCAATCTTCCACAAGACAATCACATCATCGTGGCAGGCTCTAGAAAGAATGTAGTCGCCATAGAAGGACACGCTGTGAGAAATCAGTACTGTGTAATATGCAGTTTTTCAAGCAAAGACTAACCAATCCACGAGACTGCTGTGAACCTCTGATGTTGAGAAGTGAGGATAATGAACCTCCACTGGGCGGTCGGTGTGCTCAGTGGGAAGGTCTGGTACTGTCCACTGTGCGGTCTGTTAATCATGGGACATGGGAGCGGCGCATGGAATTATTGCCTACGAGATTGATAATCTGGTCATGGCCGGCGGAAAGAATATATCGGCCCGTGTCGTGCCATGCCTATACACAAGAGTTAGCCTCAGAGTTGCAACCAGAACGCGGCAATAGAGCTATACGTACTAATGTTAGCAGGTTCCAGTAATGACCTTCGCCTCCAAGAATGCACAAGCAGGGCTGCTTCTCATGTTTGGGATCTAGACTCCATATCCGGACTGTCGTATCGTCGGAGCACGAGGCGATAATCAGAGGGTCTATCGGAGACGTGACCACGTCACAAACGTCCTGAAGATTCATCAGCGGGAGCCCCCAATATGTGATATTATCCAGGCATGACTCACTCCGCCGTGGCCTACGAGACACTAAGTGAGATGTGAGCAAATCCTCTGCAGGATACGTTAGATGTGTCTCAACTCACGTTGACGAGCTTCTGTTCGATTATGTCGTAAACCTTGATCTTGGCGTCTTCGCCGCCGTAGCACAATAGCGGCCTGCCGGTCTCCGCGTCTCTTGTCCAAGTGCAGGAGTAATTTCTTGCCTCAGTCTTTATCCGAGTCAGTTGCCGAGGCTGCTGTGGGTAATTTGAATACTAGGGAGGACGCACATCATCATCCCGTATTATGCTGATAATTTCGCATGGATTCGAGTCGTCGGCAGCTGCAGTGAGGCGACAAACTATTATCTGGAGAAGAGGTCAGGGCTCAAAGATCACTCCCAAGACAACCACTCGGATGCAGCAACTTACATGCTTCTTACTGACGGCGGCGAAGACGGGTCTCGCATCCAATGGTTGATAGGGGCAGAATTTGACATCAAAGAACTCTGAGGCGAGATTAGCCACTGTTGATAGCATGCCTCGAGATAATGCTGGGGCAGGGCTTACCAGGCACCGGATCATCTTGAGCGAGGAACCTAGTGTCATCCTACAGTTCATGTTAGCGGAAACTCTATTGAACGGCAAAGAGCCACGTAAAGAACATGGCATTCTCAATGTAGCTATTGCAGCTGGGATAACTCTGATGGGAATTCATAGCTACACGGGTAAGGGAGAAAAGGTAAGAATAGACTAAGAGCAGTAAGGGGACCTCGACCCCAGTTCGGCTAGCTCAAAGAAAGGGGGAGCAAGTACCTCGAGATGAACCGAGACTCTCAGTCTCGGAAAGTCATATGGAGTTGGTGTTGAGGTGGGGGCCATGACAACATTGAATGTCAATAGAGGTCGGGAGCGGAGGACGCGTTGAAGGCAACCCAGGCCTGAAGTTCAGAGATGGCCAACCAACTCTTTTGCGCGGAAACTTCTTACGGATAGTCTTGTCTGTCAGAGTGCAACTGCGGGCGGAGGGCGTGAGAGGGAGGCAAGACGCGTCGAGATGCAGTTGATAACTCGAGATCAGCTTTGTGTTTATTGGCGTGTGTTTTGTGCAAGGACTCTTGTTAGTTGTAGCTGCTCCGGTCCCAGGTCATAACCTCAAGTCGGACTTTCGTTACGGGTGCACTAAGTACCTAGGTAAGATAAGGTAAGCAGAGAGAATTGACAAAGAGCAAGGCAATGCTATGCAATGAAAGTGGCAGTTGGCAACAGAAAGAAATCGGTAGGAATGCTCCGTGCCTAGCGCGTGAACTCAAGGTACGGTGTACCTAGGTAGTAAGGTAATGAAGCAATGCAGGGCAAGGTAAGGTAGCTCACCTAGCAGGTAAATTGGAAAGGAAGGAGACGGAGCCCGGCAGGTGGGGCTTGCGTTTTCTCACTTGTTCTCGCCGAATGTGGACGTGAAAAGAGGAAACTTTGAAAATAGAACACGCAGTCGGTCGCGCACTCGTCAATAGGAACTTTCCGCTTTAGTGGGCCGCCCCGTGGTTGACGGAACCTCGAATACCTACCTAGTCAAGGCCGGGCCGGGGCCACTACAGTGCCCGAATCAGTGGAGGAAGGGGTCAATTGGGGTTGATGATGGAAACGTCTTTAACGGTTGCGCTAGCCCTCGAACAGCACCGGCCATGAGAACATCACATCAGCAACCTCGAACCATTTCCGATTTTATCACGACCGGGATTTCTCCAGGTCCCCAGGCTTTCAACAAGTATGGATTTGGGCCACATTTTGCACCATTTTCTCTCATCAACCCCGCCTCTTAATAAAGACCGAGTGAGTCTTTGATCAGGAACACCTTCATTGAAATTGGGAAAACTACCTCGTTGGGACAACGGCTTATCTCGCCCATCTACCACGGTGTGAAGCAATTTTGTGGTACGAGTAGGCATCGGCCACTATTTGATTCGCGTTCTCGGTCTATGAAGATGCCTTGTCCAAGGAGTGACTCGGTCCAGAAGCTCGGATCTGCCCCAAACCCAAAGTATGAATGGGTACGTCAATTCGATGTGTAAACCAAAGATTGTCCATACAGAAGGTGACACGCGAGCGATGATACAAAACTATTGTCATTCGGTCATCATTGAAACTACCATGGCTGAGAAGTCAACAAACCGGCTGCGTACTAACGTATCTACCTGGCGGGAGGGCACAAGGGCGAGCAAACATTGAAAAAACTACCAGCTGTAGGTTCAAAAAGACCTGCGATTTCCCCTTCGGGCATATGACAGGGAAGGAGGCGATATCATTGAGGCGCCGTCAAATAACAAGACTTCAAACCCAAGATGTCTCCGTCATTTTTGCCATGTTTTGACAGCAGACTCGGAAGAAAAATGATATTTGGGGACGGGGATGGCTTCCTAAGGAGGGTGATTAGGATGTGATTAGGAGGTGATTGATCGAGGAAACGTCAAGCCTTCCTCGACATCGAAAGCCTAGGAGGAGCAACGGGATGTTGAGAAAAGAGAGGGGAGACAGGGCTATTAGATCGGTCGATGACAAAAGAGACCGAATACTCTTGTACCGTTCCAAGGATTGAGTACTTGAAGTGCGGAGCGAAGTTTGGCACACCTACCAACCTTTCTAGGGCAATGGCACCTTGATGAAGGTATCCAAGAAAAACCGAGTTGTCATCCGGTACCTCGGAACGCTGTACCTCCCTAAGGAACCCTAGGTACCTTAACACCTTACCTACTTTACCTCGCCTTGCCTTAGGGTCCTTCTTTCCCCGGGGTGTGTGTCCTGCACGGTTCGTCCTCCGGGCCAATTCCATGTCGAATTGGTGCAGGGAAAGAGCGGATCTCCAGGGATAGTGGATACTGGTGTGGCCGCACCGGCTCTTTTCCTGGCCCGCGGACACTACTACTCTACCTCAGCACCTCACTTGACGCTACGCTACCTACCTCACCTCACAGACCAAGCCATCTTCAAACGTCGACTACTGAAATGGTTTCGCGTAGTATCTGTACGAGTCTGAGACCTCCCAAGCAGATGCCAGACGGCTGATGCCGCAAGACACCATTATGCAAGCGCTGAGCATCACCTAGCATCAGACTAAAGAACGCCCTGCATTATCCAAGAGGTAAACCAGGCGCGAAAAGGTATGGAGGCTGATTGTTGCGGCGCCGCGTGATATCCAAGTCTTTTGTGTAACGTGAGAGCTCGTCTGACTAGCTTCTCATCACAGTTTGATACTCAATTCTCGAAAAACGATACTGTTCCCAGGCTTCGTCTCTGCTTCCCGGTACTCATTGCATTGCACACAGAATGGCAGCAGTGCAGTACGACATCAGTGCAGGCACGAAGCATTGATTCCTCAATCGCATCCGCAAGACAAAGAGGCACATCATTTGAGGATACGTCAGCTGGCATCCAGGGATGTGAGAAATGACGGCGGGTCGCGCCCTCGTCTCTTGCAAATTCTCATACCGCCCAATCGTCGAGTCTCGATGCCAACCATCCATCACCGCATTTCGATATCGAGCCTGCATCGCCCTCGTACAGCAAGAAATCCCATTATGCTCCGGCCTGTCAATACCATACGTCTACGGAGCACTGTACGGATCCCTCCATGTCTGTTCAACCCCTGACAGCTGTGTCATGGCAATTGGGATCCGCAAACTGTTAATAAACCTGTCCCGTCGTGGGTCTTTGTCCGTGGGCCATGCTGGGTACGCCGCCGCGATATCTTTCATGTCGGTCGCACAAACCATCCGCCCCCCGCGACCTGGCACCGCGTTCTCGGCATCCTGTCTACATGTGGTTCACGTCACGAACGGACATCGAGGGGCCCTGCGACTTTCAAAGAGACAGTCCAATTCTTCATCTGGTGAAGGAGAGGGGAACAAAATGAGTCTTGAGGCAAACAGGATAAAAGTGTCCAGTCGATATACACATTGCATATTCTCTAGTAAGGTACCTAGACATCGATAGCTACTTTCAAGATACTCCGTACGAGCGGCGCATACGTCTCGAGCCTCCAACGATCAACAGCTTCCCTCCACTTTGGGTGGTGTTCAGATAAACTTCTCTTCATCTAGCTCGAGTACGCTCAACATTGTTTGTGTTGACTCCGAACGTGTGCCAGAGTTACGTACGTTTGGCGGGAAAAAAAAGATTGTGTTATTGACGATCTCATCTGTTGAAATTCAGGGGCCTGGGGCGACGGAAACATCCGTACGTAACGTCCTGGCAAGAACAACCCTCCGCATCTGACTTGGCAAGGACTGTGCACGAATGTCCCCTCGGGTTTTCCGAAGAGGAAGAAGTCGTGATAATTACGAGCAGGGACAGTTTGAAGACATGGGCCACACGAGCTGTGGCTTTCGGACTGGCTCAGGGATCCTAGCAGTCGATCCCAACTGGTGAACCGGGTTCTGATGTCTTCACAGCTGTCAACTGAAGTCAGACATCAAGCTATGCCTAGCAGAGCATAGCGCCCTCCCCTGCCCGGACGCTCAACCCACACGGACGCCATTTTAGCCTTTTTCACTCCCGTTCACACGGATGACGGGCGGCTTGACGAGGAGACAGCAAGCGTCAGTGACGAGAGCTTGGGGAAGGGAAACGGGCTCTGCTGCCCTGCAATTTCCATCGGCTGTCAGTTCGAATTGGGATAAAGGGCCGCGTTCTCGCAAGCTCTTCCCAAACAAGACAAGAACTGTCCGATCACCCCTGCGAGATCCCCAAACCCCATGTCTGCTTTCGATATCATGGACATGGGCATGGCAAAAGAAGTGGACAGCTCGACGCAGAAGCTCGCAGCTCGTTCGTCAACATGAGCTTGCTGTTGGTTTTGGATTTTCAAAATCGAATGATTGATGACGGAAGATTTTCTCTCATCTAGTGTACGGCAGCTTGTTCTCGAATGCGTGCAATCCCGCGAGGCGAAAGGCTATGCATCAACCCGCAGCATCGCCAATGCCCGGCGAAAATGTCGGGACTGACGCGGTTCGAGGGTGATCTTGCTCGGATTTCGGCTCGAAAGAGCAACAGACCAAGGTCCCAACTATCAAGTATGGATATATGGCGGCAATTTTAACAACTAGCCCGGCCCTCACTGCGCGAACCCATGCACACGCAGGTACCAGCGGCTGTTGTCTATCATCTATGCTCACTATTCGACAGTTCGACACCTCCGGATGGCGCTGGTTCCAATGGCAGCTGTTGGCAGACAGCTCGAGCGAGTCCATCCGCGTTCGAAAATGTTGACGCTCGATGCAGGACGTTGTATCCGGGCCATGTGGACAAGGATCTCAGGTTCCAGCTCTGCAATGTTTCTCAACGGTTTGTCTCAGCAGTACCTAGCCACCATTAAACGGCATGAAGTGAGTGTGCGGCCTGTCTCCAACGCGGCGTGGACGCTCGCACCGGGTAGTAGGCAACTTGGCACGTTGTGCGGCAACGATGCCTGCCTGACCTTGTACGATGTTCTGTAGATTGGTTACCCGCTCCTCCAGGAGCCAGGGTATAGACTGGAGGCTGGAGCTCAGTGTCGGAGACACATCAATCCCTCTGACATCCCATCCAAGCAGCCGGCAGAGTGTGTAACATTTAATCAATGTTCATCGGGTTCGCGGTTGAGTATGGCCGGGTCCCTCCGGGCGCAAGACTATGGGAGTAGTATCCCGGTTCGAGAGTGTCTACCACTACTTGGTACATCACTTCATTTTGCCCATTTTTGTCAGCCCTCCTCCCCTCGGCTGGGAGAGCAGACGTGACAAGCTGGGCTCTGATCATCATTGGTATGATTTGTTGACACAGCATTGCTGTGATGGAGGCGGCTCGACAATCCAAACATGGGCCAGGAAGGAGGATAAAAAAGAAAGAATAAAAAAAATGCGCCAGATATGAAAACAAGGAACGGGCATAGTTGCATTTTATTCTGCCCCGCTGTCAACGTCAATTGAATAAGCCCCCCCCTCCCCCCATCAACAAGCGTTGCAGTCTCGGGGGCCTTCATAAAAAAAAGGTGGCTGTATTGGTCCGGACACCGAGTCGAGTTGCAGACGATCGCCGATTCCTCCGCTGCCACCATCTACGGATACCTTGGTAACAGAAAGCAGCATAGGGATGTTATCACACACGCTATATCGTCGTCGAGGGACAGATGGAGTCTATACGTGTAGCTGGTTGGGACAGAACAGAGCAGCGCGGCACGGCGGGTAGTACGGACGTATGTAGGTCAGCTAACCGAAGCGATACTAGCTGAGCAGTCTTATTCCCTTATTTCCCATGGAGGCATGGATTGGCGAATCATACTGTGACATGGAGGACATAGCTCCAGCTGGGCTACGTATGAGCTTGGGGGGAAAGACACCCTCGAACCCCTGCCCCTGTCTTAGTGCCCTTTTATGGATATCCGTACACGGGCATACATTGCTAGACGTTGGGAAGTGCGGATACTGAGCTGATGGGTACTGCTCTGCCGCTTTGTGTTATCCAGAGAGTCTGTCACTCTGTGTAGGCACCAAAGTAGTTGTACTTTTTGGTCTGGGGGGGATGGTGATACCCTGAAAGCGTGGCCCTGGCGCGAGAGAAGATGATCATGACCCAGGCAAGCCGCACGGCATCCGCAAGGATGGATGATGGATGATGGATGATGGCTACCTATGGAGCCTGGCACGTCTCTGAGTGTTCTGTCGGTCGAAGCTGCCCCCTGTGCCTGTGTATCCGTACCCGTAGCGGGGACCGGAGAGATACCTCGTCCAAGGGTATCCATCCGTCTGTCCTCTCTGTCTCGACTATCAAGTCTCATCTGTGTATCCCGTCCGTAAGGATACTGACACTCTGTAGCGCGCGGGCATGCTTTACGCACCCACATTTTGCTCAGCTACCGGGGGTTAAGTATTCGCAGGTGAAGGTTGACGTTGGAGAAGTCGACAGCCGTGTTCATGACCCTTGTGGTATCCATACTGCGTACGGAGACACAGTAGTCGAAGTCGTGGTGGTATCCATACATACTTCGCAGTCACACCTGGTGGTGCAAGACGATGGAGGGGGGTCTGGGCCCCGGGACCCTGTTCTGCTCAGCTGGGCCCTGTCACCTCAGTTCTCCTCACCAATCTTTTGCCCTATCCGTTTTTGCGAAACCCGAGTCGCTGGCTGACGGGGGGGGGGGAGTCTACTCCGTAGAGAGGAGGGGGGCGCTGTGCTGCAGACTCACTGATGAGAAGATGCGCGCTGCGGTGCGGTGCTGTCACAGAGCAGAGAGCAGAGAGCAGAGAGCAGAGACGGAAGCAAAGCAAAGCAAAATGGAAGCAGAGGAGAAGAAGCCTCAGCGCAGAGAGCTGGACATCCCCCCCCCCGCCCTCCCTCCACCTCCACCTCACTCCCGTCCCCCCGCCGCCGCAGTCGCCGCCGCCGCAGCCTCTCTCTCTCTCTCAAATCACATTTGCCAAACCACTTGCCAAACGAGCTGTCATAAAAGATGCTCGCCTCCTCCGCCCATTTGCAATACCTACATGGCACTCCTTCATATCTCCTCCTTCTTTTTTCTTCCTCCTCCTCCTCTCTCTCAGCCTTTACTACACTATTAGGTGTTTGTTCTCTCTGTCATTCTGGACCCAAACTTGAACAACCAACGGCATCCCGCAATCAACAAGCTACCCATCGTTTTCGCCACTAGCAGCTTGGCTCGTCCCAACTTATCTAACCTACCTTACCTTTTTTTCATTTATTTTTTTACCTTGCCTGCTGCTTGAGTTAGTCTACCTACCTACCTACCTTACCTAGCTACCTGCAGCTACGGAGTACGGTACAGATACTACCTAGGTTGCATCTCCTCGCATACCCTCGACGTATTTCTTCGAGATTTCAGCCAACCTTCGTTCAACGTCCGAGTACATCCACTACGTCAGGTCATCTGTGTCTGCATGTACCTCAAACTCAGACTACCTTAACTTCGAGGGAACCGCGACGTTTACAACCCCCGCCAACGCCAAAAACCCTCCTTTACCACCACCACCACCACCACAAAACGGTCTCGTTCTGACCGGCTTGCGCCCTCTCCGCACTATCCATCAGCTTGGATATTCTACTACACCTCGACTTTCAGCCCCCCGTTTCTCCCTTCTGCAGTAAGCCGCACCGAGCTGCCAACTGTCACTTGAACACCTCCCGTCCGCTTTTTTCTCACTGCGCATACCTGCCTGTGTACGACGCGACGCAATACCGTCCATACTCTGCACTCCTGCTACTCTGCGCCAGTCACATAAGTCGAGCCCGCCGTTTTCACAGCCCCAGCCACTCTATCGGTATAGCCCGTGAGAGTGAGACTGACAGCCTTCGCTTGCGAAGTAAAAGCGCAATCTGTGTCCCACGCCCAGCAAACCAGCGCGTACTACAGTCAACCACAATCTAAGAGAAACAATCGCTCAGCTCAGACCCGATTGATTCCCCAGACGTAGTAGAGCTACCGCTTGAGATAATCGAGCTTCTATTGGGCGCGGCCACTGGTTCGACGCCTTGCGGTATTGAGGATCCACCAGGCTCTCCGCGGCATTCAAGCATTCTCTTAAACCATACTCGGCTTACTTCGCAGCCGATTAAGACTCCGGACGACGTGCGAGAGAGACGGACGTAATTGCGATTCAATCGGACATATATCCCAGACCTTGTTTCAGCCACGAGCCAACTGTTCTTTGCCATGGAGCAAACGTTCATGACCATTCATTCCACGGACCCCAGCGCTGCCATATTATTCGTGTCCGACTCAGTCTACGACATACTGGGTTATACCCCCCAGGAAGTGCAGGGAAAATCATGCTTTGACTTCTTTCACCCCGACGAGGTACCCTTCGCTCGCTCTATTCACAGTCGCGGTGTCTTGCTGGACAAGGCAGCCGTGCTTCACTATGCTCGCATCATGGCCCGCGATGGCCAGTGGGTGAGCTGCGAATGCTGCTTCACTGTCGTCCACGATGTCTTGGTTGCCTGTACCAGTATTTATCGACGGGACGAAAAGAGTCACAGTAAGCGAACACACTTCAGCCTCACCTTCAATTCATTCTCATGCTAATGTCGTGACAGGACGAGCCGTCGAAGCACCTCAGATCCGTCGGTTGTTCTCAAGCTCCCCTCGGGACCCTCGTTACCACATGCTGGAGCATCTCTCACCCAAATTCAGAATGCCTCCCGTGGAACGCGAGCCCCGCGCAGCTCTCATCCTCAATAGGTTCACCCGCACTCTGACCGTCATGTTCGCCACCAATGCAGTCTCGTCGATTCTTGGCGTTAGACCCGACCAGATCAAAGACAAGAGCTTTTATGAGTGCATACAGGAGAACTGCCTACCGGACGCCATTCGCTGCTTGGAAAGTGCAAAGGCCAATGACTCGATTGCTTACTTGAGGTTCTGGTACAGAGATCCGCGTCGGCCTGAGGATTTTGACGATGAGGAGGGAGACGAAGAGCACAACAGCGGAAACTCCAGTGACTCTGATGGCGGAGGCGTCCAACTCGATGGCCGCATGGATATTGACGATGATGACGGCCCTGTCATCAAACAAGAAGACCAAGGTCGTCCGGATATGTCGAACCACAGCTCTGCGAACCAAACAGCGACTACAAACACCTCTGGCTCGAGCAACGAGACGCAGAACACTGCAGCTACCTCCGCCCCTTCGGCCGACGGATCAGCCGCCCAGGCATCGACGCCCGCGGAACCCCTGCGCAACCGCCGCCGGGAACCACCCCAGGCCTTTGAGCTCGAAGCTGTCGTATCATGCACGTCCGACGGTCTTGTCGTCGTCATTCGCAGAGCGCGCCCACCAATTCCGGCACCTCACCCGCCATTGGTTGTCCCAACCTACACCAACGGTCTCTTTGCGGCGCCTTGGGGTCATCATCCCATCCGGCCTCAAGTCCCCCAGGAATCCCTCTACAATTTCAGACCTCCTCTCATGCCTCAGTACATGCCTTTGCAAGACAACGTCATGGCTGCTGGGGGCCCACCTGTAGACCATCTCATGAGCTCCATCAGAGATGTTGCCGTTTTTGCCTGGGCATTGGTGGGAATCAATGGCAATCTCGCGACATACACGCGAGGCATGCCGCGCGGCGAGTCTATACCAGATAGTGGCCTCCCTATATGGGATCCCAATGCTGGGAGTGCTTCTTTACATGGACCGGAAAACCAGGCGGTTCGCCGATGGACGCAATACGACAAGGAAAAGACATTTGGTCCGCCCTCGGCGGCATACCGACAGTCATACAACCAAGGCATACAATCCGGGTATAGCCATGTGCCTCAGATGGGCAGCTACATCTACTCTCAGCCGGCGCCGCCCACGTGGCCCGGCTTACAGCCTGCCTACACATCGGCGTATGACCCCTACTCAAGGAACAACCACCATCGAGCACAGCAGCATCAGCATCATCAACCGCAGCCTCATTATGACTACCAGCCTGGTCGTCAGCAGCATCAACCACAGTCACAGGGTTTTGATCAACGAGGAGCGCTGCAGAATCAGCCATGGGGCGAGATACCCCCACCGTACAACGGTCAAGGCCAGGCGAACGGCCATTCCAATGGGCATGCTGGCGGGCATTCGAACGGACAGCCCAATGGCCAGTCCAACGGGCAGGCTAATGGGCAGGCTAACGGCCAGTCCAACGGACATATTGACGGGAATTCCGGCAATGGTTCAAATGGATCGGCAGGGCCAAATGATCCATCTCATGGTTATCGCTACCCATGGCAGTAGTTGAATCACTCGGACTCGGGAGACGACAGTATGTGGGTGGCCATCTCACACTGATCGGAGCGCATTGGCGAACTCCAAAAGAACAGAATGTGATCAATTTGGGAAATTCAAGTAGGCAGGGGGTTTTTTGAAACCTCTCCAAGGAAGTCAGTAGTGATTGATGACGGTAAGGGGGGGAGGGGGGAATTGGGGAGGGTTTCCCCTCTGACAAAGAGGACATGAAAAGGGGTTGTGTGTACCAGGCATCGGCGTTCCGCGTTTTACTAGAAACGGACGGTAAAAATGAAAAGATACCCCGCGAGGCGAAATGAAGGCCATCGAGCTCGCAAAGGAGGAGAATATTCGTATATAGAATGTTTGGCAGTAGGGTTGCTTGCTGGCTCGGTTTTCTTCTTCTTCTTTTTTTTGGGCGTATTCACTCAAACTAGGTAATTCAGGGCAACATTATCCAGCTCGCGTCCGAACTCTATATTGAACGATGGTCCATGGTTGTGTAGCTAGGTTTGATGTCGAAATGTATCCGGATATGAACCTCAGCATTGACGGCTACAGGCGCATCAATGGACAAGACGGGAATCCACATTGGAATCCGGGCTTGAGGCTTGGGCGGGTTCTCCGTACAGCACGGAGTGGGGTTCACGCGTTGGACGGTGCGGACGGGAGGGGGCCTTCTCTGGCCAGTTAGCGATGGCGTGGCATCATGTGGATCGGGGATGCGGATCTCTTTTTTTCCGATTCAAGGGAGCTTGGACCACCTATTAGTGCTTCGCTGGAGGAAACCGTGGAGTCTACCTTATCCCAGGAGTCGCAAGCTGCTACGTACGTCAATTAGGTCCAGAAAGTCACCATCCCATCTCGGAAACTTGAAAGTGCAGAACAACTTGCAATTCAACCCTAGCGATATCCACGAACACATTTCACGTACTCCCTTCTTGGCCATTACGAAGGACGAAGACACGACAATAGTGTGATTTGTCAAATTACACGAGTTACAGCCATGGCATCTACGAGCAAACGAGACGATTATGCCAACCCTCCCTTGCCTGACGACGACTTGATTGACCCTGATGATGGTAAGCTTTCAACATGAGAATGTAATATTCTGACCGAGCGATGGCAAGCTAACATTTCATCTGTCATGAAGCCGATCTAGATGATTTCGACGACCCCCTCGGCAACACATCCTCGCGCCAGCCATTGACGGGCAACATCGGCTCGAGCTCCTCCTCCTCGCGGCCACTGAACGAGAACGCCTGGACGTCACGCATACCCGGCGAGGACCGCGCCGCGCCGCAAAACACAATCGACGAGTCCGTTTGGGACACGCTCCGCCGCGATCTCCTCGCCGTCTGGGCCAAGATGAGGGAGGTGCTGTACCCCAAGTACCTGCTTGGCGGCACCATGTTCGACGCCGACGGTCTGCGCGGCGCGTACGCCAACATACGTGGCGCAGGCATCTCGGGCGCCCGGGAGGAGCTCACGGGCCTGGCGAGCCGCTTCATGGACTCGGAGGCGCTGCTGTCGCAGAATAACATGACGCCCGGCCTGCGAGACTGGGATCTCTGGGGCCCGCTCATCTTTTGCCTGCTCCTCAGTCTCTTGCTCAGCTTCAATGCTAGGGCGGATCAGAAGGATGTTGTGTTCAGCGGTGTCTTTGCCATGATTTGGATTGGAGAGGCTGTGGTGACGTTGCAGATTAAGCTGTTGGGAGGAAGCATGTGAGTTGAACCGTTCCCCCTCGTCGCTCTTTGTGTTGTGTGTGTCAGCGAATACTAACAAACCACTGTAGCTCTTTCGCGCAAAGCGTCTGCATCATAGGATATACTCTCTTCCCCTTAGTGATTGCGGCACTCCTCTCTGCCTTTGGCATCCCGACCGTGGTCCGAGTCCCCGTGTACCTCGTCCTTGTCGCGTGGTCTCTGGCGGCAGGCGTCAGCATCTTGGGGGGCAGTGGTGTGGTCAAGAACCGCGTTGGAATCGCCGTGTACCCGCTCTTCGTCTTCTACCTCGGCCTGGGCTGCCTCTGCTTCATCAGCTGAGCTGCGACGACGACGACGACGACGACAAGGTCGCAAGTCGGAGCCAAAGGGGGCCGATTTGTCTGGAACGGTTGAGAGATGTACTGTAAATGTGGCCTTGGCGAGGGTCTAAGGCGCACACTGTATTCTAGATATCCATGTTGTGCTACTCATCCTCGGGATGGTGGCGGGCCAAAGAATGAGAATGGGCGTTTGATTTTCTGCTGTGAAGTGTCCTCCTGTCTCGCGATGACTCCGCGTGCGCCGCCGTACCCGAATTGTCTTTGGCTAAAATGTTCTAAGAGGGGAAGCAGTTCCCAGCGGAACATGTCGTGTAGTGGGAATGGTTTTAAGTCCAAGCCATTTCACTCACTAGGTGCTTGTTAGACAAACCCAGGTCATGAACCAAAGGCACAGGAAGACCAGATTCTAGCTGCAAGCGGCGTCGGTAGTTGCCGCTAGAATGTCACCTGCATTGCCCTTTTTGGACAGCCACACCACCAAACCGCAGGGCCATTCATCTGACACCTCAGACGAGCGGCCCTGAAGGACGTCGGAGGCGGGGAACCCCCACCGTTGGTACGGTACAGTGTAAGGTACCACCTCAGAAACACCAGACCTCGACTTTTGAAGTCTAAAGTACCCCTCACTAACCAGTCCACGTAGCTAAGTTGCAGTGAGGTCCTTGACATATTGGATAGCCCAGCTTGGGATATTGCGGTAGGGTGGCCGTATAAGTGTGTGTAATAACAAATGAATAAAGAAAAACCCTTGGGAAACCAAGACAGAACAAAGATTCAGAGGTAGCGAGTTTCTCGGGTATGGATAGGAAGTTCTAGCCCATCTCAAAGGCAAAGGGCGCTAATGCATGCCGCCATGGGCCCAATGGAATTCAACCTGCCCGTGGACGAGCTGAGATGAGGGTGGGCTCTTTTTCTCTCTCTCGTCTGGCCAGCGTCGTGCCGTCGTCTTATCCGAGCCCGGAGCGCACCGAATGATTGGATAGATTAACTCAAGCGGGAGTCGGCCCCGTCCAATTATTTCCCATCTCAGTGACCAACGTCAAATCCCTCCGCGAAAGACGAGAACCATACACTTGCAGGTTACTGGCCTGAGCCTGTTGTCACCGCATCCCGCTCCCGCCTGTATCGCGCCTACCTTGCCTTTTAGTGAGTGTGTACTAGGTGTACTATACTGAACCGCACTGCACTGCAGCAACATCGTAGCACCTCCACTACCTGGACTACCTTACCTTGCTAAGGTAGACATTTCTCAACCACAACCTTAACCCCCAAACGCCAGTCGCGCGACACCACCGACCCCAGAACCCAGAAACGCGGACCTCGGTGTTCTTGCCCTGTCAACGACCCGGTTACTATTGCTCTCGTCGTGGAGACGAGTTTTGGTCTTTTGCAACAGCAACTGCGAACTTTTTTCCCTTTCTTGCCTTTTTTGGCCTCCCGTCTGCGCGGCAATACCCATTTTCCAGCAAATTCCACGCTACCGAACTACACCGATTTTGCTCCATTGCTGGCAAAAGTCGGGCACAGAGAACCTCCGCACCCACCACCCAGCGACGAACGAGCGTACACGGCGACGCAAAAACCGACTCCAACAGGAACGGCACCTATAAATCACCATGGCCGACAATCCCCAGCCGGGCAGTCCCAAGTCGGACCCGATCGACGCAAAGGAGGACGCCGAGACCGCCGCTGCCCGCAAAGAACTGAAGCACACGGCCATCTCAGAGAAGGCGGAGGGAGCCACCGCCGATACGACGCCTTCGGGATCGCAGAACGAGGACCACAAGGACCACGTCTCGTCGCCCAAGAAGAAGCGGGCGCACGACCAGCTGGACGAGGACAAGGACGCCGACGAGGCCGACGTCAAGAGCGTCGCCTCGAGCGACTCGGCCAAGGACAGGGCTTCGCGGCTGGAGCCGGAGAAGAAGAGACATAGGGACGAAGTTGCCGGCTCTGGTGACGCTGCGGCCGATTCCCCTGTAGGCTTTTGACCTTGACGCATCTGGCGTTTGCCGTGCATACATACTGACGCTGTTTCGCTTCCCGTAGGCGCCACCGACTACCGATACAAAGACGACAGAGAGTGCCGCAACAGACGCAGCTACATCACAGGATTCTGCAAAGGACGAGAAGAAGGGAACATCGAGTTCTGCGTTTGCTAATTCTGGCTTCGCTAAATTGGCGGCATCGAGTGCCTCCCCCTTTGGTTCGCTAGGAAGTGCGACCAAGGGAAGTGTCTTTGGCAGCGGAGCCAAGGCTGGCGCGTCACCTTTCGGCGGTCTATCTCCATCCAAGCCTGATGCCGCCGCCCCGGCTCCTACCCCCACCCTCAGCTTTGGTGGTGCCGGCTCAGCCTCGTCGCCTTTTGCCAGCGTTAAGCCCGCCGGCGCAAATGGCGGTTTCGGCTCAGTGTTTGGCAGTGCCTTTGGCGGCGGTCTAGGCGGTAAACCGCTGTCGAGCTTCGCCAAGACGGGCGAGTCTTCTTTTAAGACTGAGAAGGCTGCCAAGCCATTCGGAGCGCCTGACAGCGACGCGGAAGACGACAACGATGACGAGACTGAAGGCGATGCCGATGGACCCTCAGAGTCTGGCGACAAGGACGAAAAGGAAGAGTCTGACAAGGAAGATACCAAGGCCGGGGACGATAAGAAACGTACTAAGCTGCAGAAGAGTAAGAAGGCGTTCTCCATTCCGGCAGTGGGAAGTTATACTGACGTGTTATAGTTACTGTCGACGACGGCGAGGCCGGAGAGGCTACTATAGTCCAGGTCAGAGCCAAGATATTCTACCTGGAAAAGGAGGTTGGCTGGAAGGAGCGCGGATCTGGTATGCTCAAGATCAACGTTCCCGAGGCGTGTGTCCAGTTCGACGAAGGCGGTCTGCCGATACCTGGCTCCTTTGATGCATCGGCCTTGGAAGACTTGGAAGATCCAGAGGCTGGCGAGAGCAGAGGCAGCAAGGTACCTCGTCTCATTATGAGGCAGGATCAGACTCACAGGATACTACTGAACACGGTCATCCTGCCGGCGATGCAGTTCCAGGAAAAGGCGACGTTGAAGAGCGTTGGTGTCATGTTTACGGCCTTTGAAGGCGCGGAGGCTAAGCCAGTGAGCGTTCATGTGAGAGTATGTGGTCCCCTCCCCTACACCCATAACCAAAGTACGAGATGATTTGATTTACTAATTCGTCACGCATAGCTGAGCGCCGCTAGTGCAAAGTCATTCCTGAACGAGGTTGGAATGGTGCAGAGAGAGCTCTTGAGCAACTGAGTGTATCCATACCGACATTTCCCACGTGGGTTTGAGATAGCCAGCGGCGTTAATGGTCGCCTACATATGCCTGTTCAACAAGCAAGGGCGAATGCGCATCACTATAAAGGGAGAGCCGGTGCGAGCATCTCCGGAGACCGTCTGGAGGCCTTTGGCTACCTTAGAGAGAGTGGGCAAGAAGAAGGACAGGCACACGATTGGTGGGACGGCAGAGATTTGTTTAGGAGTCCAGTTTGAACATGGCGGGTATCTCAGGCCCTTATCCTGTCATGATACCAGGAAAACAGGTATCCTTTGATACATTTAGATATCACTCAGTATATTGTAACATGGACACAATTCAACTGAAGATTGAATGTTCGTTCAAGCTGTCGAGAATCAAATCGTTCACCTATAAGATCCCTTTGACGATTGCAGTCCGAGGCTTGGGGAGATGATATTGGTGGTGGCGCACGTGACTTGGTGTGGATTACGTGACGCAGACGACTTCTTTGATCCAAGAGGTAGTGACGTCGCGTGTCTAAAGGCTAGGCACGGCCGATGCGCTCACCGTCTGCATATTCAAGAGCTTCATAATTGGTTGTCGAGTCGACGAGTTCCTGTTGATGACTTCCAATCCGCTACTTTTTCGCCCCCGTAGTCGAGGGATGGCGGCCTGCTAAGGCCACTGATTCAAGCGACGATGTCAAGTGCTGCTCCAGCCGAGCTCGCGGCAACAGTACGAAAGCCTCGTGGTAAGAGGAAGAGACAGGAGAATGAGAATGATATCTCTACGCAGAACAGTCAGAATAGTGTCGGTTCTGTAGCTGACGGACCATCGAATACCGACGATGCAGTTCCCACTGACACCCAGAAAACGACCAAGTCCAGGAAACGGGCTGCGCCGAAAAAGGCCGGGTCGAAACAGAATAGCACGGAAAGTGTAGCCCCCGCCGAGGAGTGCAAGATTGAATGGCCTCAACGCTTCAAGGACCTTGAAAAGACGCACCGCGCACTCAATCTCGTCTTTACGTTTTGCTGTACTCGGAAACACCTCGCCACCACGTTTGAGACGATCAAGTCCTCGGTGGAATCGCACACAAAGACGTCCCTGACGGTCGAGGATATAGCTGCCATCGCCGCTATACGCCCCGAGGGCGTCAACTTTGCCTATGTCGATGAGATTATGCTGCAGACCGAGGTCAGGGGCGCCGAGCGCGATGTGGTGTTCAAGAAGGGGCGGGATTTCCTCTCCCAGGCTCCTGCGCCTGATGCCTCTGTCGGAGGTATCTCGGGTCTCGAGAAACTGGATCACCATCCCGATGAGGCTGTCGAGGGAGGGAAGGAAGTGCTGTATTTTGAGTTTGTGGACGGCGATCTGAAACGGCAGGTTAAGGATAGGAAGACGGGGGAGATTATCAAGCCGAACAGGAAACTGAGAGAGGAGACTCTCAAGATGCCCGTCTACAGCCAGAAGCAGATGACGAATCTGATCGAGAGGCGGAATCAAAGGTTCAACGACGCCATTGTCTATTTTCTCAATCAATGCGTCGCCGATGGGCTTGATCCAGAGCTGAGTCTGGCAACGGCAACCGAGGCTCATATTCCTGTGCCGACAATCACAGAGGAGACGGAGCTCAAGGACCTCGGAGCTTTACCCGAATCCATCCCAATGGAGCGTAAAAGCGTTCCAGAGATTGTCCAGGAGCTGAAAGATTGCTCTTGGTACACTGGGCAGATTGTGCCCGACGGCCACCGCGTCTTCGAGCCGCAGGAACCTGTCTACGGCGATCTCAACTTCCTTCTCAGCCAGGACCTCGTGAATGCACTGTACAACGCAAAGGGCATCACGCAATTCTTCGCGCATCAGACCGAGGCCATCAATGGTTTGCTAGAAGGGCAGCACGTCGTCGTGGCCACGTCGACGAGTTCCGGCAAGTCGCTGATTTACCAGCTGCCTGTGATTCACGCCTTGGAAGAGAATCCGCACACGCGCGCCATGTACATTTTCCCGACGAAAGCCCTGGCGCAAGATCAAAAACGGAGTTTGAGGGAGCTCATGAGCTATATGCCGGGCATGGAGGAAGTGCTTGTGGAGACGTTTGATGGAGATACCCCGATGAAGGAACGCAATGTGATCCGAGAAGAGGCGAGGATCATCTTCACCAACCCAGACATGTTGCACATCACCATTTTACCGCAGGAGGAGAGATGGAGGACATTCTTGAAGAACCTCAAGTACGTCGTCGTTGATGAGCTGCACTACTACAATGGGCAGATGGGTTCCCACGTGGCCTTTATCATGAGGAGGCTGCGAAGAATATGCGCTGCTGTTGGAAACCGCCATATCAAGTTTATCTCGTGTTCTGCGACGGTAGCCAACCCAAGGCAGCATTTCAAGACGATCTTTGGCATAGAGAATGTGCGGCTCGTCGACTTTGACGGCTCCCCGTCCGGTACGTTTTCTACCCTGCTTCCCTTTTCACTTTGCAAAGACTGACTTGCAACAGGTCGCAAAGAGTTTCTTTGCTGGAACACGCCGTACAAGGACCCCGGAGACCCGGCCAGCGGGCGAGGCGACGCCCTGTTTGAGTGTGCTCGCCTCTTCTGCCAGCTCATGCTCAGGGGCGTGCGCATCATCGCCTTTACCAGAGTCAGAGAGCAGTGCGAGAAGCTGGTTACCGCGGTGCAGCAGGAATTGGAATCTCTCGGGCGGCCAGAGTGCGTCAATAGAGTCATGGGCTACAGAGGCGGCTACACGGCGCAAGACCGACGGCGGATCGAGTCAGAAATGTTTGAGGGCAAACTGCTCGGCATCGTGGCGACCACTGCCTTGGAGCTCGGTATTGACATTGGCACGCTGGATTGCGTGCTGACCTGGGGATTTCCCTATACCATTGCCAACTTGCGCCAACAGAGCGGCCGTGCCGGACGAAGGAACAAGGACTCGCTGTCGGTGTTGGTGGGCGACTGCTTTCCTACTGATCAACATTACATGCAGAACCCGGACGAGATCTTTTCCAAGCCGAACTGTGAGCTGCAGGTCGATCTGGAGAACATGCTGGTGCGGGAAGGACACATTCAGTGTGCCGCGTATGAGATGCCCATTCGGCCGGTGGAGGATGCTCAGTACTTTGGCAAGGATTTGCCCATCATCTGCGAGGAGAGGCTGGTAAAGGATCCTTTGGGATTTTATCACTGCCACGATCGGTTCCGCCCTATACCTTCGAGGTTCGTCGCCATCCGTGATACCGAAGACGATCACTTCGCCATCATTGATATCACGCACGGTAAGAACGAGGTCTTGGAGGAGCTAGAGGCATCGAGGGCAACGTTTACGATATACGACGGCGCCATTTTCCTCCACCAGGGTAACAAGTACCTGGTCAGGGATTTCCAGCCCGAAAAGATGATGGCGAGGGTGGAGCGTGTCAAGGTCGAGTGGACCACGACGCAACGAGACTTCACCGACATTGACCCGATCGAGACGGAAGCCATTCGCAAGATCTCCGGGTCAATGTCCAGAGCCTTTTACGGCACGATCAAGATCCAGCAAAACGTGTACGGGTTCTTCAAAGTGGACAAGAAGAAGCGCGTGCTCGACGCCGTGCACGTCGACAACCCCCCCGTCATCCGATACGGCAAGGGTATGTGGCTCGACATACCCAAAAAGGCGCTGCAGATCCTCGTCGACCGGCGCCTGAACATCGCCGCGTCGATACACGCGGCCGAGCACGCCATCCTCAGCCTGATGCCCAACTTTGTCATCAGTCTACCGGGCGACGTCCGCACCGAGTGCAAAATCGCCCTGAAAGAGTTTGCCAAGAAGGATTCCCAGAGGAAGAGGCCGGGCCGGCTGACGTTTTACGACGCCAAAGGCGGTGCTAGCGGGTCGGGCATCAGCACAAAGGCGTTTGAGCATGTCGACCACCTGCTGCAGCAGGCTGTCAAGAGGGTCGAGGACTGCTACTGCGAGCACGGGTGCCGGGAGTGCGTCGCGTCGGACCAGTGTAAGCAGGCGAACGAGGTGATGAGTAAAGCGGGGAGTCAGGTGATTTTGAAGACGTTGCTGAATAGGGAGATTGATATCGATGCGCTGCCGATGGGGCCCGAGGAGTATTGTCCTGCGGGGATCGAGACTGTTGTCGTGGCGCAGACTGTCCCGGCCAAGGATGGGGGGAGATTGAGGGTGGTTGAGATTAAGGAGGAGGAGTTTGATGAGAGGGATACGGTCTTGTTGGAGGAGGCTGAGGTGTGGACTGGGCGGGAGGAGGAGGAGGAGGAGGAGGAGGTACACGATGGTGAAGAGCCATGATGGCGTGTAGGTGTGATCTCAATGTCAGTCATCCTGAGTGTATGCGTTGTCACTGAAGGACCCGAATAGAGCTGTAGCTATTACCAACTGTATTACACTGTCATGCCGGTCTATCTATGCTTGCCCGCTCAAAGAGACTTCCCCATTCCGATAAGTGCAGGAGGTCAGACACCGAATGGTTGAAGATGACGGCTCAGGGATAGTTTGCCCATTACTGCAAGTCAGGAAGCGGACGACGCTCCTCGTTCCTCGATTCTCATTTGTAACGTTGCCTTCTTCTAGCTGCATTTACCCCTTTTTCACCTCTCCTCGAGGTACTTGGGTAGGTGAATAGTACAGATTACAGAGAGGGGGCAGCCCAGATTATGTGGTATCTCATCCTTTTGATTGAAACGCAATATTCTTCCACTTTTCGAGGGAACATCATACATGACATTCCCCCTTCCCGGTTGATAGAAGAGTGATTGATGGTGAGTGATGGCCACTGAGGCAGAATGAGTATATCGATTCCTACAACCGAATACTTGCTCATGTCATTAGAAACCTCATCTTGACCGCGCCACTTCTCAACGGATCGCCGACATGAAAGAAGCCACGCTGTTGTGATTCGAGAGTCAACTTGGCAGCGACCTTCTGAAGCCAGGTAGGTACCTTGGATAGGCAGGAGCGAGCAAGCACATGTCCAGACCTCTTCATCTTTGTGTGAAAAATTCTGCTCTCGGCCAGTCGAGTGCCATCTGGAACATCACCGCAAAGTGTGTTGGGATCTCAACCTTCGTATCAAGATTACTCCTATGGCATGGGCCAACTAGGTCTCTTGATAGATGCCATCATCTAAACCAAATCCCAAGTATCTACCTCACTAGACATTTTAACCAAAAAGTAAAGGAGGTGAAAAGTGAACGGACCGATGGAGGATGTTACTGATCATAGCCTTGATGTAAACGAAACTTCATGATCTAGTCAAGGAATCATGATCCTCTACGCCTCAACCATTAAGCCCCTTCATGTTACTCAGGAACATTAAGCTGATAATGAGGTGAATGGAGGGCACGTAGGCAGGCAGGATGAGGTGAGAGAGGGCCCCTTTTGTAAAGGTATACTCAAGTTGCCATCGTGAATACACACTCACCCACCTCACCCCATCGCTCCTTCCCACGGGTGGTGCCTTCGTTCCTTCTCTCCTTCCCTTGACTGCCTGCGAACTGCCTCTTGACCGCCTACAACCGCCCACGAACCGCCCTTTTTCGATTCCTCCTTTCTTGTCCTTATAAAAACCCCCTTCTCATCCTCTCCTCCCTCTTCTTCTTCTCTTCCCCTCTTCAACCCATAGCTACCACCCAAGCTTTCAAGATTCCCCTCAATCAGATCTTCCTTGTGTGCACCTACCTACCTTATACCCTACCAGCGTCGTCGATCGAATCAATCTTTCAGTCTTACCTGGATTAAAGACGGAAAGCCCCCTTCTTTCATTTCTTTCCACTAATTCGTTCATCCAATACGATTTCTATCCGAGGCTTTTCAGCCTAGGAAAGAACGACTTCAACAGAATAGAGGCACCTTCTTCTATAACGGTCCAATAATACGGATCGAACTTTCTTCCGGCATCCAGCGACCTCATCTCACAACAACACACATCTGTTCACAGTCGCACTCAGATCACCGGCAGTATGTCATTACATTTGCGCTATACCAACTTGAATTTGTCACTAACTTTTGTATAGAGATGGCTCAGAACTGTGGTCAAAGACTTGCTCCTCACGACCAAGTCCTGGCTTCATACTTGGCACACCTCGACCTAGGGGATGACCACGCTCGAAGTGCCCCTGCCGCTCCTGCCGCTGCCACAGCTGCTGTGCGTGGCAGCAGTGGGGGCAGCAGCGGCAGCAGCAGTAGAGGCGGTCTCGGTCGTGGTGGGAGTGTGTTAAGAGGAAGTCGAAGCGGAGTCACAAGCTCTCACCATAGCACTCACAAAGCTGTTCCTTCCCCTGCTGCCGGCATTGACCAGCTAGTCTGTATCGACACGGAACCTACCAACACTAGCGCAATAGCCAGTACAAGCCATGCCAAAGGCTTCGAAGCCATGCGTATGGTTGCTGAACAACAAGGCCAAGTCACGCATGCACCTCACGAACAAGTAATCTCACGATTTGCAAGAGAATTCTACAACCTGCCGTCGAATTATGCCGGCGACCCGTTGAACCTTCGCAACCAAAGCGCACCAGTCAAAGACTGCGAGAATACTGCGCTATTCATCACTGGGCTTCCGGCCAATTGCGATCATACTCTGCTGCTTAAAGCTGTTGCTGGCTGTGCTCCAGTGGGCAAAGTATATGCCGCAGTCATTAACGCTCCAAAGCCGATTGAAGGCCGGCTTCTTACCGCAGCTAAGTTGGTGTTTTTTGACCGCGCTGGCGCCGAGAATTGCTTCAGAGCCATCAAGCAGAGAAGGCTCATTGTCGGAGGACACCGTCCCAGAGTTGTATGGAACCGGATCAAGTCGGCCGCACAGCCCAACACCGGCAGGTCCCGAGTCATCCTAATTCGAGGCCCATCTGAGCTGGTCAGGCGCGATATGCTGGATCGCTGGTTCTCCAAGAAATTCAGTTACCAGACTGAGGATGTTCTAGAACGCCGAGTACCACAAGCCGGAGTCACAGTGCTTGAATGGCGGTTCGGAAGCTTCCGAGCCCAAGCGGAGGCCGCCACAATGTACATGAGTGAGAACGAGCTCGAGGGCACGAAGCTAGAATGGCGTTGGGAAGTAGACCCCTGTGCTCGATCTCAACTCCAAGCTCAGGTGTAAAGGTGGAAGGGGCAGTGAAAGAACGGATTGAACGGCACGGGAGGTGCGGGAAGCCAGAAGTTTAATGTTGGTGAGGCTGGCTGGGAGGAAGTGGATGATGTTTTGTGTGTTTTGGGCGTTTTGGGATTTCTTTTTTAGAAGAAAATACAACCAAAGACCCTTCTACGGTCGACCGAAAGAGGATGTGCACAAGGATATGCATTGGAAGCAAAGAGGTGAATGCAGGCGGGCCAAAGAAGCTTTTGCCAAGGGGCAAGCTGGGATGGAACGGTTCGCTCATGGCTCGTTGGGGTGTGGGAATCTATGTACGCAGTAAGCGTGGGAGAGAAGTGGAGGTGGAGATGCGATGTGCGACGGTGTCTCAGGCTGTGTGGACGCTCGTGGCATTGTTGCTTGGCTTTGTCGATGAGAGGACCCAGTTGTTCGTCTTGGGGAGATCCTAGCGTGAGCCTTTGCTCTTGGCTAGGTCTTGGCTCATATTGGCTTCATCTTGGTTTGACCTGGTTCGACTCTTGATTTCGCTTACTGTGGTAGGCTCAGATCGTAGGTTCTCGGAACGATGGGTGTTATAGGCCCAGGTCCCTTGGAGTTGAGCCTCCCCGTTAGGTTCCTCGTAGCCCGTTACCCCGTCTCCCTCAGCCCCCCTTTGGTGTTGTGCGCGCGTTCCGTCAAAAGTCTGTGCTTGGCTGCCTCCCTCAGAAGGTTCAGGTGCCTTTCCTCTGGAATTGTTACTCCGTCCGAAGAAAAAGTCAATTGTATGGACGGTGGTCCCTTGTTACTTTAGGGCGGGTTGCAGTTAGACGCATTGGACGCCCGTCTGCTGCATAACTTTGCCCAGATGTTGAGATTTCGAGAAAAAGCCTCGGCATTGTACCAGGAATTAGGCGAGCTTGACACAATCCGTAGACTCTACTACTCTGTGGAGTAGAGTGAGAGGAACGGAGATGAGGATCAAGTGTCCCATGTCAGCGTGGTCATTGATGACGGACAACATCTGAAGGATATGATGAGAAAAGTGGCTGGATGCGCGTGGAACTCTGAGAATCTTGGAATGAAAGTCTTGGCACAATTTCGTTACTGGTGGATGGAGAGGAAGGAAGACGTAGTGTGCAGCAGCGCAGTAAGGTACGGAGTACATACACCATAAGGTAGGTACTCGGTCGAGTCGAGTCGGTCGTGGATCAGTGGATAAAGTCTTGCTGGCGTTGCATTTCTATTGGGGAAATGCCTCCGGGACTTTGATGGTCTTCAGGGGTCTGCGATGGCTTTGTGACGTCGTTCGGCGTCGCTGGCGTCGCTGGCGTCGTTGGGCTGCTGCTTATCTGCACGACGTTTTGTCTTGGCGACCAATTTCTTCCACGGTCTATTCCCCCCTTGCCAGACTTGCGGCCTGCCTGCATTGCCGCCAGTCTGTGAGTGGTTATTCGCTTCTTTTTCGTGGTGTAGGTACCTACTCCGTAGGCTGCAGCTGGACAACGCGAAGCAAAACAACAAAACCAAAACATGAAGCCTCGACACATGAATGGAACAGCTTCCCAGAGAGCAGGGCGTCTGTCTGTCTTCCTAGGTATCGTATCCGTACCTAGCATCAAATTCCATTACCACCTCTCGCACGCGTCGCATCCTCACACACGGACGGAAAAAGTATCTTGTACTTTTGGTTTCACGGCATTTCAGGCGGCGCCCGTCGAACGAGCCAGCTGGCCAGGTGTACCCAACTACCCATCAGGTACTCCGTACACGCACACACGCCCGCCCGCTGCTTCTCTTCCCAAGTTCCCACTCGTCCAGCAATGCACAGGGGTTCTGTCAGAGCTCTTGGCATGACAGCAAGCCTGGCCGTGCCTTGATTCACCGACTCTCAGTACGCCTCGAACTCTTTCTGTCTCCCTCTCCCCGTGCAAGGTTTCTCGCTAGAATTCAGTCTAGATGTGTAGATGTGTACCTGCCTGTTCATCGGCTCCCCTTGCCTTGCTACATATGCAACGAAGCCGAACATGTCACGAACTCTCTTGCTCTCTTTCGGATTGACGGCCTCCCTCACTTACGCAACAAATAACAACAAGACAACATCTGCCTAGGTTCATACTCAGGTTCCCCCTTCTCACTGACTGGTCAGCAGTGAGAGAAAGCTCAAGTTGAAACGTACTCGCCCCGAAACCCCCAGGCCCGGTCCAGCCCAGCCCCCCCGGACAACCTTGAACACAAACCCCTGCTGCCGCTACCGCTACCCGCGGCCACCAATCCACCACCGACCGACTGGACCACGTTGATCGAGACTGGGGAACGAGGGTCCTCACTTCTCTCCATCTCTTCAGAATCCGTTTATTATATCCCTCCCTCCCACTTCTGCTGTTCGTCCAGCCACACTGTCAAAAGTCTTGGTATTGGGGTTTGTTCCACACTTCTTCACCGTCCCTTATCCCAGTGATACAACCTTGGTGTACCCGCACTCTTCGACTTCATATAAGACGTCCTTTTCGCCCTTGTAACATTGCAACTTCTTCCAAGTGAAGCACCTTGGAAATCCAATAACGTCTAGACAAACATAGACGCCTCAGCTCGCCGTCATGTCGGCTCCGAGGTCACCCTACCGCCAGAGCTATAGATCGTCAACCGATGGACGATCGCGTCGACGAGAATCAAACCACCCCATCATCCCTCCCGAGAAGGCACGCACTTCAAACTACTCCTCCCGCGGCGAGGAGCTGCCGAGCCACAATGGGCACCTACACCGGAAACCTCCGCCAGGTAGCAAAGTCAGGGTCAAGCCGTCCGGCGAGAGTGGCCGCCGGGGCTTTCACCCTTTCAAGTTCCTCAAGATCTCCTGGAAATCGTCAAGTCGAGCCTCCCTCCTCTGCAACTTTCTCTGGCCTTTTGTGCCCGCCGCTTTTGCCGTTCGATATACTCGACCGAACGACCATGTCCTCATCTTCATCCTCACTTACATCGCCATGATCCCCTGTGCCAACATGGTTGGATTCGCCGGCCAGGAGCTCTCTCGCAAAGTGAGCCACGTCTTTGGCGTGCTGATTGAGACAACGTGAGAAAAGCCCCGTTCTTCCACACCTTGCAATGCTAATAATAGTTGGTAGCTTTGGTTCCATTGTCGAAATCATTCTCTTCATGGTACTGCTCGCCGGAGACCAGTTTACCGTCATCAAGGCTGCCATTCTCGGTTCCATCTTGGCAACTATGCTTCTATGCCTGGGACTGTGCTTCATTGCGGGTGGCATGCGACGAGACGAGGCCGAGTTCAGTGAAGTCGTCAGTGAAGCCGGCAGCGGCTTGCTGCTCACAGCGTAAGTACTACCTCCGACTGGCAACACCACACGATGCTAACAACTGTGACCAGAGGTGTCGCCCTCGCCATCCCGACCCTGTTCGCCAACTCGCTCGAAAACCAGCTCACCGGTGAAGAACTCGGCAGCAAGACCCGCCACATCTCGCGCATCGTGTCCTGCCTCCTCATCATCGCCTACGCCGTCTACGTCTACTTCCAGGCCCGGACCCACCACGGAATCTACGACGCCATCTTTGAGCACGACGAGCAGCGAGACCACGACAAGCGCAAGGACCTCAACAAGCCCAAGCTGACGCTGACCGAGTGCCTCGTCGCCCTCGTCATCGCAATCACCCTCGTCACCTTCATGGCCATCTACCTCGTCGAGCAGATCGCCCCCATCGTCGAGCGACACAACATCTCGGACCCCTTTATGGGTCTCATCCTCGTGCCCCTCGTCGAGAAGGCCGCTGAGCACCTCACGGCCGTCGACGAGGCGTGGGACAACCAGATGAACTTTGCTCTGTCACACGTCCTCGGCGCCACGTTGCAGACGGCTCTCTTCAACGCGCCGCTCGTCGTTATCGTCGCGTGGGGCCTGCACAAGCACATGGACCTCGTCTTTGAGGTGTTTGATATCGGCATGCTCATTCTAGCCATCTTGACTGTTGGAAATTTCTTGAGGGATCAGAAGAGCAATTACCTCGAGGGATTCTTGAGCGTGACGATTTACGTCGCTATTGCCGTCGCTGCATTTTACTACCCAAACCCGCCCGGTCACGGTGGTACTGCCGAGGGTGGGAGTGCAGAAGGGGGCCATTGAGGCATGTGTTAAAGTACGAATGGAATAGGAAAGCGAAATAACGAAAGTCACGAAAGAAATGTACATGTGTTGCTTTACGGGAGTTAATATTCACGGAGAGCAAACGGGTATATAATCAACAGAGAATATTCAAATTGCAGAAAACATTATGATCATTCAGTATTTGTAACGCTAGGAGTGGTATATATCTGCTAACTATCCGCACATCCACCCATGTCGCGTGTGTAAGTGCAAGCGAGACCTGGGGGTGGATGCATGTCGTCTCCCCTTCTCTCCGCGGAGATGCCTAAAATACGCTGGTAAAAACAAAGAGCTCCCCGCCGTCTCCGCAAAAACGTAGTCTTCCAACTTCGTTCCGTCCCAAGCTAGAGGAAGTTTAGAGCAGAATTACCGTTTTCCTCCCCGGAGATGCTTGATTCTGTTGCACCTCTTTTTCTTTTTTAGTATAGATGCTTGTCGTTGATACAAACTCCACCCACACCACCCCATCCAAGTACGGCCCGGCGCGGTGGCGGCTCTGTCTGCTGACCAGGGGACCTGTGCCGAACTTCCGAGCTCCGTCGGCCCGGCTCACGGGGCAGGCATTTTTGACGTCCCCTTTGGGAATCTGGACTCCCCAGATGTGATCTAGAAGAACAATAGGTCGTCTTCCTTCCATCCGAGGCTAGCAAGGCTGGCGCGCACCCCCTTCTCCAACGGCTCCGGCCCGCAGACGAGGACGAGCTCGTCGCCGCCGCCACCACTGCCGCACCTGCCGACTTCCCTTTCGAAAAAGGCGCCATCCATGCGACCCTTCAGTCCCGTCCACTCCGGCCCAGGTTTGGTGAGCGAGTACACCAGCCGACACTTGTCTGGGCCGGCGGCGGCGGCCATTTCGTCGAGCTCTGCGCGGCAGAGGATATCCTCCTCGACGCGGTTGCCGTCGAGGACCAGGCACGTCGTCGGGTCCGCTTCGTCCTTGAGAACGGCGCGGAGGACCTGGAAGATTGGCGTTATGCCGGAGCCCGCGCAGATCATGACGAAGCGCTTGACTGTGCGTTGTTTCCCCGAGATGGAGCATAGCCCCTTGCCGAGGTATTCAAATTTGCCAACGGGGCCCTTGAAGTCGACAAAGTGGCCGACGGGGATGGCGTCGAGGGCCTGCGTCATCTTGCCGCCCGGCTGGCCGCCGGGGGTGTCGTAGTAGATCTTGACGAGGACGTGGAGTTGACCCCGTTCGGTGCCCTCTGATATCGGGGTGTAGGCGCGGATGATGGCCTCGCGGGTGACGGGGTCGCGGAGGCGCATCATGAGGTGCTGGCCGACGGGCAGGCCGGCGATTTGGTCGGCGTGTTCGAGGGTGAAGGTGAAGATCTTGGTGTCGGAGGAGATTTTTGTCTTTTTCGAGAGGATGCCCTTTGTCCAGGTCTTTGACTGGAGGAAGACGGCGCGGGGGGAGGCTTCGGAGTCTTCTACTACGACCTCGCCTGCGCTTAGGATCTTTTGGGCTGCTGAGTCGAGGGTGCCGATGTGGTACTGGGGCATCATGGCCTTGGCGTTTTCGCTGTCTAGAGGGGGGACTATGTTAAGAACGAGTAACACTGGAGAAGGGGGATGACTGCGAACTCACGAATGGTCAGGAACTCTTCTGATACGTCCTGTGCGGCTGCTCCAAAGATGGATGCCGCGCCTCCCGGATGGCCTTCCAAGAAAGGAGTGCCGTCGTACACCTCGTTGTTGACGACGAACCAAGGCTCCTCTTCGCCCTCATGCTGGCGTAGCTCCTCAATGGAGATGGACCGCTTGACAGTATCCTTGGTCATGCAGATTTCCTTGATGGGCTCCAGCTCGGCGGAATTCTCAGCTTCGCCCTCAACCTTCTCGCCCCAGAATCCGTTGGCCAGGTTTCCTCCAGCCTTCTTGACGCGGTCCATCCATCCGCCCGGCATGAGGGCCGGTTGCGTTGGGTGCTCGAAACGTAGGCTATGGCCCTCTTTATGGATGACGATCCTGAACCACGGGTTATTCATCATGCCCAGGACACTCCAGTACATGTCTCTCGGTTGCACCATCATGCCCTCGTCCATGGCGCGGACCATAACGTCCGCCGCATCTGCGAGCTGGACTACGGGAATGTCCAAGTCCCAGAAGCACCAGCAGAAGCAGCTCTCTCTCCAATCCATGTCCACGCGGCCGCCGTAGAGGGTCTCGCCCTCGGGAGCGAGTCGGTATGTGTCTTCGGGGTAGTTAATGTTGGCGAGGAGCCATGTCTTGCCACGGTCTAGGGTTATTTCTACTCTGGTGATGCGTCGACCGCCGCCGCCGTACGCATATCCGCGAACCTTGTAGGACTCTGGTCCTTTGTTCAATGACAGAACCTCGTCGTGCGCAGGGTAGCAGGTGGCGCTGTTCGTGTTGAGGTCGTAGATGGCGTAACGTTCATCTTTCCACACTTCGGGGAGGTCAGCGCTGGCGTCTGGCGAGACCATAGTTGGGAGCACGCGGTTGTCGTAAATGTGGTACCAGTTGTCGCTCGGCTCCTTGGTTACAATGATCTTCTTGAGCCACTTTACGCTTCTGCCGCCGATCTGCCCAGGAATGATGATGCGTACTGGCTTCCCGTGGTCGGGGTGCAGCAACTCGCCGTTCATGCGGTAACAGACGGTCACGCCGCGGTTAGGATCCATGCACCAGTTGAGCTTGATGCTCGTTCCATAGTATCCGTTGGGTAATTTGTCGGCGCCCTCGAAACAGACGTATTTGGCGCCCCTCTTGGGCATCGCCTTGGCGAGCAGGTCGCCTATCGAGACACCAGTCCAGATGGCTGTTGACAGACCGGCGGCGCCCCATGAGAAGCCTTTTGACTTTCTCACCATGTTCTGTTCTTTCCGGCGGTTTCCAGCGCATACGAGGGTGACGGGGTAGGTGATCTGCTCGTAGTCTGAGATGAGGTCCCTCAGTGTCATCTTGATAGGGTTCTCGACCAGGCCCTCGACGGTGAACTCCCAGTCAAACATGTCTTCATCCTCGACTTTTGGCACTGGGCCATGGTTGCGTACATAGTGCAAGTCTTTTGTGGTGATGAAACCTTCGTCGTACAGCTCGCTGAGAGGGGCCTCGACGTTGAAGGGGTGAAGCCCCGTCAGGCGTATTAGTCGGGGATCTCGGGTGACGTGACTGTCGGGTGTCTTGAGGTCTTCGGTGAGGACCTTGTTGACTCTAGAATTGGGAGGTAGGGGATATGTGCGAGGGCCCTCGACGATGACCTCGTCTAATAAGCATCCTGATATCGAGCAGTCTGATCCGCCGTCAACGCTATAAGACTGACCCTCTCTTACTGTCGTTGCTGGACTCGGGGGAAAGCTGAGCTCCTTTTTGGCGTGTGATTCTCGTAAGGATGTTGGAGTAGGGGTGGGTAGAACTTCCATGGTTGACGATGATGGCTGAGTATGAATGATAGGCGTGATGAGGAAGAGTGGATGAAGTTGAGCAGGGTAGGCGTCCGCGGTAATAGTTGTCTCAGTCGTTGATGACAATCACCAAGCCAGCCATGAAAACTACGTATGCGCTAGGCAAGATTTAATCAAGTATCAAATGAGAAAACAAAGCTCGATGCAAGGTCGCTATAAAGTAGAGCAGATGGTTGGAAATCGCGAGAGAAAAGAGGGAATCTACGAACGCCGGATAAGGATGGAATAAGTAACAATGATGAGTGGGTTGGGTTGGTGGAGGTGAGATTTGGATTTCCTGGGGCCGGAGTTTGGTGTCTGTGGTGTGGGCGGGCCGGACGCACAACAGGGGGCGAGGGGATGGGGAATTGCTGCATGACATGACATGGCATGGCATGGCAAGTGCAAGGCCAAAGACTTAAGGCCTTGCTTAGGGATGGGGTGGGATAGCACAACATGGCATCATCAGATGGAAGTGACGCTAAGATAAAGGCTCACTGGGAGACCTAAGAGCCGTGGACAAGCAGGATCATCTCTCCGAGAATTGCGCTGACGGTTGGACAGGAAGGTATACAGTACCTACCTAGAGAAAGAGAAAGCCCCGTCCTTGTACAGAACCTGCGGTGCCATATCCCATCCTCACCCGAGACTTTTAGCTTGAGTGCCCTCGTTGGCCGTGGTCAAAGTGTCGTGTAAGTGAGCAGACGGTTCGCCGGCGAATGAGATCGACCAGACGGTCCCGAACCTGGCAACTTACCTTATTCGACGGGTACGAGACGGCGTGCGGCGAGGAGATGCAACTTTCTAGCTAGGAAGGGAGTGGGCTCAAGTGTTGAAGAGTTCCGCGGAGGAAAGACACACACTGACACTACTGGCATGCTGCGGGATCCTTATCAGTTGCCCGCGTCATATTTCTCTTGGACAGTTTGACGTTGGCGGTTGGACTGATGCTATTGGGGCGATAAGGGCACAAAGCAACGGACGAGGGAATTCTCAGCGGAGATGCTTAATTCGACCTTTTTTTTTTCTCTCTCTCCTTCACTCTACCGGCTCGGTATTTCACGGCACTGGATTGGTCAAATGATTGAAATGGAACCCCGATCGGGATCCATGCCCCTGGGCCCGGGAAAGGCCCGTGGAAAAGGGTTGAAAGGATCCCGGATCGGGGGGATTCTCAAAGTTCAAGAGAACCGGCACCCTTGTACGTCCGGTTGGCCGCCGCAGCCATGAGCCGTACTTACTTTTCTTCGCCGGGCCGCACTTCATTATATTCATATTCCATTTCAAACCCAAGAACTACCCTTCATGCTTCTTCATGTTGAGAGGCGGCACTTGATCCTTCGCCGCAACTGCCACAACAGCTATCATCGGATCAGGTTTACCTTCTTCAATTTGGCAAGCATTCACCTGTCGTTGGGCCAGGTCTTTTGACCTCGTCATCCTGGGGCCATTAACGTGGCACGTCGCACTGCTTGGCACCCATCACGACGGTTTGCGGAGATTTCTCTCGTGTTGCCTGTAACACTCATGTCGTGGCTCACGATTAGCGTCGCCCGGGAATGTGGCGATATGAAGTCTTGAGCAACATCGTGGTTGTTAGTGAATGACTTGTCAATGTTCGCTACGTGACCTCTGATCCTATAAGAGAACGTGTGACTCAACGTAGAAGAACCTTGAATGGGGCCAGAAGCCTGGATCAGCCACACTTTCAGAGTTTGTGCTTTCGCATTGCGTAAAGTTTTAGTAAGAACCAACATGTGTGATGTTGTGGCTGATTTGTCGATAATAGGATTGGCATACTTGCTTTCTTGATCCTGGCATGTCCGTCATTGGCCAATTGAGACGGTGATTCGTGGAATCTTCGAATTGGCCTGTTGGCATTAGATCTATGCTCCCCCTATCTTGCTTCATCTTTTCTCCAAGGCAACATGTCTCACAGCTGGGTCCGCGAGTGGGGATGGAGGCATTCATCACGAAGCCACAAAAATGGGCGTCGAAACTTGCAAGGCTCATCAAAGCTCGTGTTTCCCATTAATTGGCTTGAAATCTTCAGTTTGTTGATAACACACTGTCAAGCTAATGGAATACGAGACTTTCTCATCCAGCTGAGTGATATGACTGAACTCAATGAAGCTGTCTTCCCGTCCGTACCGTCCTTTCACCTTCGCATCAACGTACCTAAATCCTCCCGACAATACTCCATGCTACATACAATTTCCTACCTACGATGCAGGTACGCAAATACGGAGCGACGGGGACAGGTTTTCCATGGTGAATGTGGGAAGTGGACCTGTCAGGTAAACGACAAAGGTACCCAAAGCGCCGGGTCATGACGCTCACCGCCCGGACCGCTTAGATGACCGTGAAATGCGGCATCTAAGGCGGCAAATCAGATGCTACCTTGGCAGCCTACCCACCTAAGCTACAGGTCATTCACAGCAGGAACCATGCGCTAAGTAGGTTCCTTCCCCCGAAACTCTCACTGCAAGGCGCCTGTGCAGCCTTCCTCCATCACAAACCTGGAGGGCTTTCCGCGACCTTCCTGAATCTCCAAGGCCACTACTTCGTACCGAAAACCCACTAAACACAACCGCCACCGTCGCTGCCCTGACTTCCCTTGTGCAGATCCAGCAGCGACAGGCAACCCAAACGGCTCCTCACCTTCACCTCAGGTCCAGAATTCTCTCAGCACCGCCAATACAATCGCCAACGACACCATTCACGCAAACCCGAACCGACACGACCACTTGCCCCCCCAGGCAAGGCCTGCCGCTGCGAATAATCTTACCGATGCCGGCCCATGTTGACGCGCAGAGTCACATTCGTTTACAACACTCGATCCCATAGCATCAGCTCCCGACATCATCAGTGCCATCCTGCCCTATGTAGCGCCCGTCCGCTTTCAACCCTTGCATATACAACACTCGATTCTCACGATCCGCCATGGATCGTGCTAGGAAGCGTCAGTTGCGCTCTCCCGCCCGCCCGCCGCCTCCTCTCCTGCTATGCGGCATCTTGCTAACAGCCACTCAGGTGAATTGCGCTCCTTGAACACCCGCGCTTGGGATGGCGAGCAAGGTTCGTACATCGGGTTCAGACCCCACCATGCCCAACACCCCTCCTCTGACTTGCCTCTCCTACACAGACCTGTTTGCTGTCAGCAAATCTCTCGATTCATCTCTCAAGAAGAATACCGCCTTCATCAAGCGCCTTCGAACCGCCGTATCAGCCGCGACCCTAAATACCTTCCTCCAAGAGATCCGCACCCTCAGCCTGCACAAGTACCTCTCCGAAATTGTCTCTGCCTGTTTCGAGGGCCTATGCAGACTCAAGTCCCCCGGCGAGATCGAAGCTGGCGTCGAAATTGTTAGCGCTCTACACCAGCGCTTTGGTCCCAGCGAGTTCACCGAATACCTAGGATGGCTGCTTGGGAAGGGAATGGCAACGCCCGACAAGAGCTTGCTCAAGTCGTTGGCACCCGAGGTCCGCGAGAAGGAGGAGAAAGAGCGCTTGACGCGCCAGCGTGTGCTCTTGCGCATTGTTACCGAACTTTGGCTGGTTGATGTTCTGCGAACTCTCGATGACGTTACGAGACCAGACGACGCTACCAAGGGTGCTACAGGTAAGGTCGCTGAGCTGAAGCCCAGAGCGCAGGCAAACAGGAGCGGCGCTACCGAGCCTTTTCCCCTCGAAGTACTCAAGGATCTACTTGGCCATGATCGGGAACACGTAAACTTGCCTCTACTCGTCATCTTCGTCAAGGCCTTCAGCTGGGATATCTTGGGAGTCAAGTCTTCGGCTGCTGAGGGACGAAAGACAGTTGAGGAGGACGGCGCGACCAAGACTGCCAACGGAATTGTACACGGGGAGAGTGGCGGCGAAGACCAAGTCATCGACACCGAAGATCAGCCGTTCACGCCCCCTGAGCTTCAGGAGAAGTTCAAGACTATCCTCAAAAAGTACTTTGAGGACGTCAAAAGCCATGTCGTTCGAGACCAGAAATCAATCCATTCCCAAGCCCGCCGCAATGCTGAGGCCTACGTCAAGTCTGGCGAGGTTTTTGAAGATCGCCAGGCCAACTTTGAAAAGCAAATGAAGGCCCAGGAGCGGCTGGTAGCCAATGCTCAGGCCATCGCTGACGCCATTGGCGCTGATATGCCTGATCTCAAGGAGAGCGATGACTCGCTGGGCAATACCAATGGCTCGATCGGTCTGGTCAAGGCTGGTGACTATCTTCGGGGTCTTGGTGACGGTGCTGGTATTTGGGAGGATGAAGATGAGCGACGCTTCTACGAAAACCTCGTCGACCTGAAGGGCAAAGTTCCGGGCATTCTTTTGGACGACGGCAAGAAGAAGAAGTCCGATAACGAGGAGCAAGTGGGCAGGAAAGTGGAAGTTACCGATGCACCGGAACCACCCAAGGTCCCGGACGCAGCCGAAGACCAGTCCACCTCCATCGCCAACAAGACGATTGGTGCTCAGGTGGACGCAGTGTTGGCCCGCCTGCCAGATCTCACCAATAAGGACGTTATTGACCAAGCTGCTATCGACTTCTGCTACCTCAACTCGAAAGCCTCGCGCAACAGGCTAATCAAGGCTTTGACTGAAGTCCCCAAAGGCCGCGGAGACCTGCTGCCCTCATGGGCCAGGCTCGCTGCTACTTTGGGTAGATACATGCCGGATATCCCCAAAGGTCTTGTCGACTATCTTGATGCCGAATTTCGCAGTCTGCAAAGACGAAAGGACAAAGACTTCCTGGGCCAAGTGCGCTTGAGCAATATTCGCTACCTTGCTGAACTGACCAAATTTGGCATCGTTCCGGAGCACGTTGTGTTTCATTGCCTCAAAGTCAGCCTCGACGACTTCTCGAGGATGAACATCGAGATCATCTGCAATCTCTTAGAGAACTGCGGACGGTACCTTCTGCGGAACCCAGAGACTTCACCACGTATGGCAACCTTTCTCGAGACATTGCAACGCAAGAAGTCTGTCCAGCACATTGGCCAAGCCGAACGCATGCTCATCGAGAACGCCGTCTACTATGTTGACCCTCCTGACCGGCCTGCCATTCAGCAAAAGGAGCGCACTCCCATGGAGCTGTTTATTCGCAAGTTGATCTACATGGACATGACTAAGCGTAATTACAGTAAGGTCTTGAAGCAGATTCGCAGACTTCACTGGGAGGAGGCCGAGGTAAGTCACAATTGATTATTGCAGTGTCGTCGGAAGTTAACCATACGACAAGGTTGTCACCATTCTTGAAAAGGTCTTCTCTAAGCCGGGCAAAGTCAAGTACGGCAATATCCATCTTCTCGCAATTCTTCTCAGCGCAATTTACCGCTATCACCCCGCTTTCGTCGTCAGGGTTATCGACACTGTCATGGAGTCGATCAGCTTCGGGCTGGAGCAAAACGACTTCAAGTTTTACCAGCGAAGGATTTCTGAGGTCAAGTACATTGGTGAACTATACAACTACCGAATGGTTGAGCATCCAGTCGTCTTCGACACCATGTACAAGATTATGACATTTGGCCATGGTGGTCCGCCCATCCCCGGTCGACTGAATCATTTCGATTTGCCCGATGATTTCTTCCGCATTCGTTTGATTGCGACTATCTTGGAAACCTGTGGCATGTACTTTGCCAAGGGCGCGGCTGGCAAGAAGTTGGACTACTTCTTGTCGTTCTTCCAGGTTGGTGTTTTTGGATTTCGAGTGGCTTCCCGTTGACTAATACATGATAGTACTACATCTATACCAAGCAATCGCTGCCCATGGATATCGAGTTCATTGTTCAAGACACTTTCGCCCTTACACGACCCCAGTGGAAGTTGGCAACCAACCTCGAAGAGGCTTCAAAGGCATTCCAGCTTGCCATAGCTCAGGACCAAAAGGTCTCGGGAGCCGACAAGACGCTCGAGGCCGACGATGCATCCATCGGATCGTCTTCGGACGATGAGGATGGAGATGAACATTTGCCTGAGCCCGAGGCTGACGAAGAAGAGTCTGATTCTGACGAAGATGCTGAGGTAAGAGAATTGCATAGGCCGTGCTGGCCCAACCCGTTACTGATCAGTCGTACGAACAGGACAATGACGTCGACATGTCTCACGCGGACTCCGATAGCGAGGATGAAGCTATCGTGGTCACTCGTCAGCAGGAACAGGTTGATCCGGAGGCCGAGGCTGAGTTTGAACGTGAATACGCTAAGATGATGGCCGAGAGTCTGGAGTCTCGCAAGTTCGAGCGCAAGCCCTTGTTTGACGTGCCACTGCCCGTCCGCGGCAAAAGCAAGGAGTCAGCAACAGCAGCCGACTCTGGAGATACCGGTGTGCCCGCTCCCAGTAGCACAATGGCCTTTTCGCTCTTGACGAAGAAGGGCAACCGTCAGCAGGTGGGTGAAGTCGTCGTGGGTTCCGTGCAGTTATCATCTTTGCTAACAAGCTTCGCAGACGCGTACTGTGGAAGTTCCTTCCGATTCAACATTTGCTGTGGCTATGAAAACTCAGCAACAAGCCGAAAGAGAGGAGCAGCAACGCATCAAGAACCTTGTCTTGAACTATGATCTTCGCGAGAGCGAGGACCCGGATGGTAACGACTGCCCAAACCCAATCAAAGCACACCTAGATATTCACAACCCCCAAGCAGGCCACGAGAAGCCAACTTCCTACCACCATAATCGAACAGATCGCGGAAAAGACCGCGGCGGACAACGGGTTCGCAAGCTTCAGCTAAGTGACGTTGATTGGTATGAATCATCAACCAAGCGTGGAAACTATTTCGCGCGGGCACATACTCCTCGCTCCGACTGGGACGTAGAAGCTGGCAACGATGTAGAGCAGTCAGAGACTCCTCCAACATATCAGCACGGTACTGTTCACAAGCGTCACATGCCGGCCATGCACTCTACGCCCAGACCAGGAGATCGGAAGGAACAGCCTAGCCGGGTTCGCAAGTGCCAGTAGAGTTCGCTAACGAAGGGGAAACCTCGATTTCATAACAGGACGTGAAGAACGCACCATCATACAGAACTAGGTTCTGAGGATACACTTTATTGCAGTCTACCAGACGCTACCAATACAACCCCCTGGAGGTTGCCCCAACTGCCAAGACTTCCAGGGTGCAGGATGGCTCCGGAGGCTCACTGAGGCAGACAAATCCATGCGAGGCACCAAACGCGGCCGAGTATACTCTCGTCACCGGAGCTTACTAGCTTTTCAGGCTCATAATACTCCACGATCTAGCCGAGACCCATGGCGGACTGGCAAGTAAATAACCCAAGCTGCGATCAACAATTGGTTTATAACTTAAGGATTCATATGGATGAAGAGCCATGGGTTGCAACGATGGCCAGTCACCGGCTAGATTGTAGTTTGTGCGTAAGGGTGATGATGAAGGAGAGAGGAACGCCAGGTGGAATGGATGGGTGCAAAGCAGATCTTTACCACAACAGCTAAGCAAGTGGGTACAGTACCTATAAGATCTGAAGCCATCATTCTGGTTGATTGGCCCTGGGATCACTGCCGCCTTTTCTTTACAGAGGAGAATTCCCAGATTCAACATTCTTTTGATAGAGAGAAGTAGATGTCCAATATTGAGAAAGGTAACAGCGCATGAGCAAATAGGCTTGGCTGTCGTCGCCAGTGCCTCTTCCGACCCGTAATAGGCAATTTTGATCTAACTCATTTCTCACGGGCGAATCTGGCCAAATGATTCACTCACGGTGGCATGGCAAGAGGTAGGAAAGCGTAATTGTGATTTTCAACCTGATCGTTCTAGTGAAGTGACTGACAGCCTGATATTGTACTCTCTCTCACAGGATTCGCAGCTGAATCGCTGGGTCCGTTGGCCAGAATTTTGAACAAGATGGTTGCGGGTGTGGCTTACAGTCGACCCGATGTGTGGTTTGAGAGCTGGTGTGAAGTGGGGTGGGGGCATCATGGCACTGGTCGACGGTGCTAGATCTGATGTAACTCGATGGTGCTTCTTGGCAAGCATTAGCTGTGGGCAAGAGGAAATACGAAGTGCACATGTTTCAGTTGGCACAGGCAGTACCATTACTTGGAAAGGGTGTCATCGTTCGTTTCATCTTGGAAGAAATCCCTAGGCTGACGTTGCATCGTAGGTAGTTGACGCTGGCCAGTCGAGTCTCGGTGAAAAGAATTTTGTTTCTCGTTTGCGGCAGGAAACGTCCCGACAACAGCATGCTGTGCATTTGGCGCTGCCATTGTTGCCACGCAGCTGTTCAGCACAACTACACCGCGACTGCAGCCGCGACCGGACGTAGGCCATCCTACGTCCGGTGGACGCAAGACGGGCTGCAAAAAAGCCAAAGGTGTGCTCTGAGGTTCATGCAGGTCGAAAGTGTATGTCTACGGCCACGGCGATGGCAAAAGACGAACAGGACCCTGTGCGCGTGTCGAATCCGATGGCGACAGCTTGACATGGCTGGGCAACATTATTGGGCCGAACCTTGACCTTATTTGTGCATAAGCTCGCTTCATTCGTCCGATGTCGAGGTTCTCACTACGCCTGCCTCAACCAAGGCATCGCAAACGGAGAAGAAGGTCGCTGATGCAGTGTATCCGGCGGACTTGGCCGACATGCTCCAAGCCAGTGCCAAGTAAGAATGCTGACAATTCACATTGACAACAACGACGTGTCGCTTTCACATTTGAGGTGGTTGAGGAGGTTACTAGCCACACAAGTCGAAACTTGTGTCGGCGGCGGCGGGCGATCGCGTGGCAAATTGAGACTGCAAACAACTATCTGTCGCCTGCGTGATGCCATCTTCGAGGGGGTTGAGGATGGATGGGAGTAGGAGCGCGTATCCGTAGAGGGGTGGTCTGGAAGCGGGTGGGGGGTGAGCGAGGCACGCGTGGGCGTATGGCGCCGTTGTCCCAGTGTGTCCTGAAATATCACATTCCGGCTGATCCTGGGTTGCTCGGACGTCCACGGACGTCTTGGGGTGGAATCTGTATGGTACCATGCCCATATCCACCGGCTAGGTAAGAGATGTTCAGCACCGACCACGGCAACACTGCGCCCACCCTAGACTGGAAGACAGGGAGATGGAAGGATTAGTAAAAGAGGATTTGAGCGAATTCAAGGACGTGAGGAATTGGGCGCGGTCTTGTTGTAGACATTGGTTTTGTATCGAGATATCGCTAGCAAAGCTTGAGGTCAGATGCCCTGGAACACGGCCGGAGTTGGTGTAGATGATTTGGAAGATGGTTGTGTGGACTGTGGAAGAGGTCGAATGCGGCAGAAAGCCGTCTCGTTTGGTTCTGGCCCCAAAATAGACGGGATCGTTCGTGGTTGCATAGCCGTGGATATCGGAGAATTTCGTCTCTTTCCTGAATCCTCGTCGACTTTGGAGAAGTGAAATAAGACAAGCGCGATGGATGTTTTGGGAAAGAGTTCCCCACAAGCGCCGGGATCGTCGTCGGCAAGATTGGCTGCCCCTGGACCAAATCGTCTTAGCGCCTCAGGGCAAGGTTCGGTGTGCTAACCTTGAGGGAGGTGCGCCAATCATGTTTCCTTCCTCCTGGATGTCCCGTCCCTCACAAAGTGCGATGGAAGACGGGAAGCCCCAGATGCGAATCACCAAGGTTTCCTTCCGTCACCTCAGTCAAATTCCAGCTGGCAGGGATCATCTTCTCAGCGTTTGATAGTAAGGGTTTACGGAGTACTGGCCCCAGTATACATACCAACCTGAAGCTTGCTTGGCCGAGGTGCCTCGCTCGGTTCTTGGTGTGCTCCAAGCTCACCTTACCTAGGTACCATAGCAATGCTGCCTCTAGAAAGCACTTTGCGGATGGGTGTTTGTCATTGTTTGTTGAAGGGTGACGGTCAAGGAGTGGCAAAGGCCAACCGGAATGGCTTCTACGGCAACCGCGCATAGGGTTAGGCGGGCGGGTTGCGGCGTCTAAACTACGTGACTACCGACTGTGAGAACAGAACATTCCATCACAAACTCAAAAAGAGACACTTCATCTTTAATTCATGGGGTGATGCTTTGCATTTACCCTAATGCGATGGCGGTCGAATAAGGTGGCCGTACAGGGCACATGAAGTTCTTTGATACAGCGGCCCCTACCGCCCGAAGTCCCGGCTGTGCTGACGACCCACCTGTCGGCTCATCTGATCCCTGCCCGACCCTTCCCCAAATGGACTTGATCCTCTTGATATGCTTAGCTAATGCAATTGACACCCCTGCTTCACCAAGGGCAAATGCAACTTCACGTCGGGTCCTTGAGTGCCAACAGCGCATACCTACTTTGCTACTCTCACATCGCTTCGCTAATTATCCCAGGTTCACCTGCCGTGTACGTCACATTCTACACAAATATGCTCAGATATTGGAAATGCAGGATACCTACCTTACCCCAACGGGTCTGGGCTGTTCGTTCAGACAGGAAAGGTAGACCCAGATCCAAGAAGGTGTGCGGAAGAACTCTCGCGGGGCTCGGCTGGGCTGTGCATTCCAGAGTTGACGATCACGTCCGTCTCCTACTCATAGTTGTTCCCGGCAACGAGAGCCTTGACCTACGTAGTCGCCGTTAGCATCAGAAGCACATCATATTTCAGCAACGATCGCGGATCTAAACGAGACCACGAGGACGGGTGATACCCCCAAACCACCTTTGCGTGATTAGCATTCCGTCGAGAACCCGGCTGCGTGGGAAGTTGTAGACACGAGGCATGTCGCACCAAGGGTCCTGACAGTCGTACCACATGCCATTCTAACTATCTTGCCCGGTTAACTCATCCAGCATTTCTGAGCGAGGCTATTGCCACGACGGCAACCCGATTCGTCAATCTTGCCACGTACCAGGCGCCGGGGACGTCTAGGAAACTGTAGAAACACGTCTCCTAGGTCCCGCTCGGCATACAGCTTGCAACTCGAACCGGCCGGTCGCAATACCAAGAGCCCCTCCATGTGCGCAATCGGGTACCTAGCTATCCGCGCCAAAATGATGCCTCGCCTGGCTTGACATTGGCGCCCATCCATCAACTGGCTAATGTGATCCGTGCAGGTCGGTGATCCCTGAGAGCTGCTCTTTGCTTGCTTGCCTGCTTGTTTGCTTGATCCCCTTGGGCTGAATACCTAATCATCCTCCTTACCCACCTATTCAACTTGGACCATCCAGAACCCCCCCCCCCCCCCCCCCCCCCCCCCCCCCCTCCCCACACCACCCTCCACGCCCCCCCTTTCCGGCCCCCCCCCCCCCCCGCCACCCCCCCCCCCCCCCTCCTCCCCGCTCCCCCCCCCCCCCCCCCCCCCCCCCCCCTCATCGGTCTGTGAGGTACCGGATCGATCCTAGACGGGCGCGGCTCTATCGAGCCTCGAACCCTGTTCGCGCCTCCCCCGTCTTTGATACCCTTTCCTTTTCCGTCTTGCTCCATGTTGCGCCCCAGGCTTCTTAAGACGAGTAGGAGCCAGCCAACATCTCCCGTCATCTGATTTTCTACTCAGCGTCTCTTTTAGTCTTCGTCGCTCCGCGATCTTCCTTTGTCCTCTCTGGCTGATCCCCGCTCATGATGTACTCGTTGACCTCATAAGAGCCCATCTGAGCTTGAGTGTCGCGACCGACATTTTCTTGGCCAATCTGAACAGGCCGGTCACTACTGGGAGGTGAGTCGTTTCCTCATCCGGCCCATCGCAAGTCACCCCAAGCTCACCTCACTCGAAGAAAAAGGTGGCTTTGCCCATGTTCACGGCCGAACCATCAGATCTCGCCTTTCCGCGGTTACCGACTACTTTGTTCGGATACCTTGCTTCCGTTGGTGCGGCACAACTTGAGAGTCTCGACTCCAGCCCAACACACCCGTCCGACTGGATTCAAGAAAACGAGTGTTAAACATAGTACGCGCCGTACAAGCGAGCTGCAACTACCCGACGACAACACGCTTTATCTGCACAATCCCGCCTCCCTCACCGTGACGTGGACCTTTTCTATCC